ATTTGTAAACAAACATCAACTGGTCTAAACGGGGGTCAGCCTTCCCCTTTCCTCCCCCCTGCGAAATGGGTATTGTTTGGGGGATTTCCATAAATAAGAACCGGGGCAGAATAATTGAAATATTTGCTGTCAATTTGTTGACTCCGGAAGACGACGACGATTCTGGGCCCGAGGCGAAGGTGTAAGCCGTATAAATGGTGGATCGTTATGGTCCTGTTGCCACAGACACCGATTATCACAGGTCCTGCCGCAGGACGAAGCCTGTTTGCTCAGCGAAGGACCACCCAAGTGATAAATGGTTGCGAAATTTATTTTCCTTGCACTACCGATTGGTAACTGTGTGTGCCAAAGGGAATTATTTCGGATTATGTGAAATTGAAACATCAAAAAGGGGAATTTATGTGGTGAGTTTCTTTTAAGAAAATAGGCTTTCAATTAAGCAATCAATTGGCTCTGCTTTCTAAATAAAGAATGTTCTTATGTATAAATGAAACAAATTATATTTTTAGTTATTATTATTATTATTGTAGCCCAAACATTTCATATCGAAATAATATCTAAAATGTTTTGGCTAAAAAAAAAACACTTTGAAAAGTTTTTAAGTTATGAATGGTATATTGTTAAGGCTTTAAATGGCTTATATGATTGTCTGACGGCAGTTAAAACTCAATTTAAGTGCTATTATTAAGGTTTTTAAATTTATGTTGGATTCTGAAAAAAATCTAATTTAAAAGCCCCAAAATTAAATCAAATTTTATGCCAAAGCATTGAAATATAATCTAATACAAATTGGCTGCTCTTATTCTTGAATTCCTTTTCACAAGTCATTAAACCCGTCGTTTGGAAATAGGGGCAAGAGTAGAGTAAAAATTCATTGCCTAGCAGACTGGCGACCCCCAATCGCGTTGCAATCCCGCTGAGAATGTGCACTGAGACATGTGGACGAAAAAACGAGGACGGTGGCTTTTCACTGGGGTACAGAAGGTAAATTGACAAGAACATGTCAACGATTTTTGTTTTTTTCAAAATCGATTTTCTGTAGATTTACCAGAAATTGTTTGTGATAAAACACGACTTCGACTTCGTGCTTAAAGTGCACTTCAGGCGATGATCAGCGGGGTTTGTGGGGGGATGGACCGCCACTGCCGGGTTCAATCAATCACATCACATCACCACATGATAGAATGGCGACCACGATTGAGCGCCTTTTTTTCGTAAGTTGTAATGCTGCCTAATCCGGCGTAATAAACATTGTCAAATGCGTTCACTCGATGCGGGAGGACATGATTATTGACATCTACATACACATCATCATCAACATCGCCAACAATTGAAATGCAATTGAAAGGAATCGCGTACAAATATTTGCACTCGGATTCAGCAGCCGTTGACAATGGGAGCCCTTCGAAGTGGATGCAAATGAGAAGATATAAAAACGAGGTAGATCTAGGCTTCGAAATACGACTGTATATATACCCGCGGATTTTCGTTGTTTCTTCTTGTACTTAGCATGAACTTTGTATTTAACAGGAAAGGAAACTAAGAAAAATATATTGATTCCATTTTTAGGAATAAGCGAAAAGTTATTCATATTTAAAAATGTACCTTTAAAATATAAATGATAGTTTGTTCTTGTGCATCTTCAGTTTTGCAGGATTATAATTCTATAATTATAGTATGGATATTTTCAGATGCTAAGATTTCTTACGTAAATAACGTGTCATCAATTAAACAATATTTAAAAAATTAAATATAAGAAATGAACATTTCATAGTTTAAGATTAAGTTGTATTCCTCATCCTATTCTGTTATGAACTCGAATCATGTAACACCCTTATGCCATAGGACTATATTTTCTCCAGCGTTATCGTTGCATACTTTCAGGCATGGGGGTTAAGTGCAAATAATAGATTCGAAAAAGTTTGGTTGCTAACACGTGTCTGTAACAACGAACTCCAGCAGACTGACTCTTCTCGAGTTGATTATTAAAAATATTTTTAATTGGCCGCAGATAAATATTTGCACACCTTTAACCCTTTTTAATATGCTTAAGTGCTGCTCTTCCCTGACCATCCACCTCTCATTTTTCTGTTGGTTCTTTGTCCTTGTCTGGTTAATCCCCCTCAAACCCCCTGCTTCGCTGGAAATCAGCACAGACAGCCAAATGGAGCATACAGAGGATAATTCGATTGTGTTCAATTTAATTTTGACAAGCTTCAATGAAGCCCAGTACTCCCCTTCCTTTGCATTTCCCACCCACAGCGCTTGATTTGATTTTGTTTTATGTTTTTCCTGCTGGCAGAGAGGCCAAGAAGAATCCTGTTTAATGCCTCCATCCGCCCCTTTCGCAATTCCCTTCGACACAACAATTGCGTGGAGAATGGGTGTGCCGGGGGAGGATGAGGGTTGTGGTGGGGGTGGGGTTACGGCCACGAAGCCCAGTTGTCGTAGCAAGTGGAACAAAGTTTTTGTGGTCACTTTTGTGGCTCACAAGCTAACCAAATACGAGAATAGTTCTCTGGGGGAAGTAGTTTATTGAAATGTTCTACTGCAGAAAAGAAAAAGTTCAGGCAAAGAAAAAAAAGGTAAAAAAAGATTTAAATCACTAATATGGAAATATTTCTGATTTATTTTATAAATAAATTCCTCATTTTTCGCTATAAAAGAAAATTGATAATTTTTGTTTTATTTAAAAATCGTTGCATGTACATTAACTTTTAATATTTAAAACTGGTTATAGCCTACTCTCACCAAAGACATTTTCTTGCGAGATGATAGATGTTTTGTTTTATTGAAAATATAATTTCTTAGCATTCCGCGAAAAATAAATTCATATGGCCAGAAAAATGTTGGAAATCTTTATCTTACTTGTTAAAAAAATTATTTAATAAAATTAAGAACGTATGAACACTAGGTGGTGACAGTAAAATCGAAAAAATGAATGATTCTTAAACATCCAAACGATTCGAACGGGAATTGAGCGTTTTAACATTGTCGGGTATTCAAAAGGGACACACTCTTTAAAATATTAAAAAGCATTTAATTGCGAATGTATATTTTGAATTAGAATCATAAATTATTACTCAATTTATTGGAACCCCATATTTTCCGGCACATAAAAATGTCGTCAGATCTACATTCATACTACAATCTATCTTTCGTTTTTTATCAAGTGCAATACTACCTTTATAACAAAAACTTTTTTAAGAATTTAAAATATGAAAGGATTATTGACATTGCTAGCCCATATTCCGTCCTCCCACTCTGCAGACCCAGAACTTGTTGCACAAACAAAGCAGGAGCCTCTCAATCTCTGCTCATATCTCGCAACAATATTACATCAGAGAAATCTGTTTGGCCAACGTAGACAAAACATTTGCTCAAAACAAAAAAAAGAAGAGACCAAATTAAAGTAAAACAAGAGAATCGCATGTCCAAGATGTTTTTTTGGAGGTTGGTAAGGTCTGCGCGTCCGTTTTTGCTGGCTCAGCAACAAAATGCACCTGTGCACCATGGAATCCTTTGCCCAAAAGCAAACACACATACCATATAGAGAACTGGGGAGTGTATTATATACGAGCCAAAACAAATCGAGCGACTTATCTCGGCTAAAACATCTCCCATTGACTTATGCACTGGAAAATGGAACAGTGGATGTGGATATTCCCGGTTGTGTGTGCTGTTTGCGACCCACTCCTGCCCATAAATACCTATATATGTGTAGATATATCCATCTCCATCTATGACTTCTTATAGCGATGGCCAGCCAAATGAGACTGGAAATCGGTGAATGGGGCTATGTAGGAATTTCCGTGGTAGTTGCTCATAAATATTCAGACACCAATACACTTAAGAATGGCGAGAGCGCCAAAAATACACAGATACACACACACAATGGACAAGTGGGCGGAGCCGACGACAGCATAAGGTGTGTCGGTGTGTCTATGTGTGCTATTTTTTATGCCCTCCATGGCAATTCAAAACGCCTACTTCAAGAGCTCTGCCAAAATGAACCGAACTGAATGGCAGTGCAACAACAACAAATGCGGAGATTCCACCACCAAAGTATAAACCCCAGAGCATAGATTTGAACTCCTGCACAGTGACGCAACCAGTAAAATATTCGGATTCTTTTTAAAACAAAATAATAGAGGTAATTAAATATAACCTACTTGGTAAAACTAAATTGTATTCAGAGCAATGTAATATCAAAATAAATATATGTTGGAACGGGAGCATGTTCAATCTTTTTTCTAGAGTGGCCTAGATTCTGGAGATAGTATAAAAAAGGAGCTGTTGATGCTGATCTATTATGTTTTAAAATAACATTGATATTTTTGAAGGTCGAAAATGAAAATGTATCTTTCAGCTATAAATGTATCTTTCAGTTATAAATGTATCTTATGATTGTAAAAGCATCTTTGAGATAGAAAAGTTTCTTGTAGAAACTAATAAAAATCACTTAAATGTTAACTTTTGTAATTGAATACGATTAAATTTTACTTTTCGTTCCACTGTGAAGTGTACTGAATCTACGAAGCTTTCCCGGCATGACTTTTGTTGTTGTGCGCGAGAGCAGCAGCCGGCGGAAGCAACAAGAACAACAACCACATTGCGAAAGGGTGCCCTGGCTCTCCGCTTTTCTCTCTCTCTCGCCGACAAGTGCTTTCCCTTCCCTTCCACTGGCCACCGTCACTTCCACTTCCACTGCTAGTTCCATTTCCAGCAGGAGCCCTCGGAGCAAAAAGCTATCAGCGAATGGCGTTCGAGCTTGGTTTGCATTGTTGTTGTGTTGGTCGGCTTTTTTGGCTTTATGGGAAAAGGTGTGTGAGTGTGGGAATGGATGGGGGTATGGGTGTGCGCGCGTCGCTGCCATTCTAACTGTAAACATCCAGTCCGGGGAGCAGAGCATCCAGAGCAGAGCTTCCAGACCAGAGCCACCCTCCAGTCAGTCCGGCAGTAGTAAAAACCGGATCCGGAGTTCAGTCGCCACCGTTAACTCTTTCAAATTGGACGCGAAAAGCGCGTTCGGGAAATTAGTGAGCGAGTTAGAAAGTTGAGAAAGAGAGCGAGCTTATGAAGAAAGCCCTAAAGTGCGGAAAGTGATCGCTAAATTGAAATTAACAGTTACTTTTTAAATTAAAACTAATAATATAATAGCATAATCATCTACTGGTTAAGGTAGAATTTCAAATAAACATACCTGGATATCACTACTAACTATGCGAAAATCTTGCAAATAAATCATTGTTTGATTCAAAAAACTAATAACCTGAGAAAAAATCAATTATTATTTTAATTTGTATGATAAATTCATACCGAAATCCATATAAATTTTATTAAACAAAAGTCGCCAAAAGTGCCCAGTTTCCGATCGCGTAGCTGACCTTCGAGACCGCCCTCCACCCACCACCCACCACGGTCACTCCCTTGCATGTGAGACCCGTAAACGACCCTCTCCGGTCCCTGGTCGATCCAATGAAAATGGAAGATCCCACCATAAACGACACGTACGTGCAGGAGTTCGATCTGCACCACCTGGAAGTGGGCGTGAATGGAGCTCATGGCCAGGCCCACGGTGGCTCCGGCTCCCAGGTGGCCACCATTGGTCATGTGAAGCGCGAGGATCACAGTCCGCCGCAACCGGTGGCAGTTAAATGGACGACGATCCACGGCGAGCCGACAAATCCGGAGGACGAACCGGAATCGCTGCCCCTTTCTGGGCCAGAGCCCGCCGGAGCCGTGGAGGTCTCCCCCTCGCCGCACATCAAGCTGAGGTCCTTTTCGGGTCACCACCAGTGGCACATGGACGAACGGCGACTGCAACCGCTGTCACCGCCGCCGGAGCAATATGGTCCGCTGCCTGGACAGGCCATTTTGGTGAACACATCCTCGGGAGCGGCGGCAGCTGGCGTTCCGGGCGGAGTGCCCTCAACGCCACCGGAAACGCCGCCCGTCGTGGGTTCGCCCACCGGCAGCAGCAGTTGTCCGGCCCAGACCTATGCCCACCACTACGCCCGGACTCCGGGCAGTTCCGTATCCGTATCCGCATCCGCCGCCGCCGCCGCAGCAGCTGCCTCCGCCGGCGCAGCCTCGGTGAGTGCCGGACTGAGCCACGACATGATGTGGCTGACCAACTCCATACGGGCGGAGCAACAGCCGCTGGATCTGCGACCCCTGGCCTACCCCGGATCCCAGGAGGAGGCGGAGGAGTGGGACAGGCAGCGGGACTATGCCCTGCAGGCGGCAGCAGCTCACCATCATCACCACGGACAGCCGCTGATGCAGGCGCAACATCATCCACACGGACACGGAGGCCACCCGCATCCGCATCCGCACCAGGTGGTGCTGCAGCAGGGCAAATACCCGCACCACCACCACCACCATTTCCACAACCTCGACCTGGCACCCATCAATATGCACTCGAATTCGTACGGCAGTGGTGCCCCGGGTGCCCTCACGCCCACCTGTCTGCCCCAGGTGCCCAGCAATGGGAGTGGCAGTAGCGGAGGAGGAGGCGGCGGCGGTGGTGGGAGTGGCAGTGGCGGTCCCGGCAGCGTGGGCGGCGGATCATGCGTGCTCACACGCGCTGCACTGCAGCCATGCCGCCCACTGTCCGCCAGCTCGACCAGATCCTCAAACAACATGTCGCCCAGAACCTGTTCGGGTGCCTACAGCAATGCCACGCTGGAGGATTGCCTCAACGACGACATGCTGACCACGTTGACGGTGAGGGAGCTGAACAAGAGGCTCCACGGCTGCCCACGCGAGGAGGTAGTGCGTCTGAAGCAGAAGAGGCGCACCCTGAAGAATCGCGGCTATGCCCAGAACTGCCGGTCCAAGCGACTCCATCAGCGCCACGAACTGGAGAAGGCCAACCGGGTGCTCAACCAGGATCTGCATCGCCTGAAGGTGGAGTACTCGAGGGTCTGCCAGGAGCGGGATGCGCTCATGCAGCGCCTGCAGCGAGTGGGCGCCGGCAATGGAGGAGGCGCCGGAGGAGCAGGTGCCGCCGGCGGCGATAGCCAGAGCTCGCCGGAGTTCTACCTATGACGCCAACTGGCGGTGGCCAGCGGCTCCTCCGCATCCTCATCATCCGCCGCGCAGCAGCACCAGCAGCACCATCTCCATCATCGGGGTCCGCAATGGAATCCCCAGCAGTTGGTCAACTAAATGTAAAGCGTTGCGGGTGCAAGGTATTCCCCCAAAGAGTTTGTTTCCAACGGCAGTTGGTCATTTCCAGAGGTTTTCCCTAGACATAATTTAAAGTAAATCAATACAATTCCAAGAATGATTTTAAAGAATTTAGGTTCCTCTCAAAAGAAAGAAATTTTCAAAAAAATTGTTATAGAATTTTCAATGGGTTAGAAACCATATTATTGAACGTTAATTTGTATTCCCAAAATCTATGTTATATTTTCAAGTACCAAGAATTTTTTTTAAGTTTCTCCAGATTATTATTGTATTGTTAACGAAAAAATAGGTGTATTTTCAAGAGCTTCTATATTTGATTTATAATTTTGATTTTAAGAGCAATGCATTCCCATTACCACCACTGTTGATATTTATTCACGCGATTTACTATGTTAAAATCATCTTTGAGTAGTTTATTATATTAAGAAAAGTTTAACATAGATCTTATTTCTTTCCACTTATATTCCTATGCATTCTCCCATTTATGTAAAAATTATTCAAATTATGCGGCAGTTTTTGAGGGAACTATTTGGCGTTTGATTTCCCTTGTATTTAGATTGCGACAATAAATTCCGATTGAATATCAGTTTGAGAACTTCGAAAGTGATCGATTGAGATTGAAATAGATAGGGAGAAAAGAGAGAGGAGAGAGTGCATATTTGGATGGAACTTTTGCTGATTATCAGTCTGACTAAAGCAAAGATCGATTATAAATAAAATTAATTCGAACTCGTATGTATAAAGGACAAACATTGTATAAATTGAAAGGAACAAAAACAAAACAAAGTAAACTAAAACTAGCAGCTTCTGATTAACAATCGCTACATTATTACAAATTACGAGTTAGTAACACACGCTTATTTGTTGATTAGTTCTAGCCTTAGTTTCCCTACTAGTATTAAGCGACAGCAGAAGCGAATAATAATATCATAGATGCGATAGTTGTTCTTAGAGGCCGTGTTTCCGTTTCCGTTTCCGTTTTAGCCACACCCCCACTCCACCCCCTCAGTAAGCAATAAAATTACTAAAACTAAAGGTTGTATTACGTTTAAAGACCGCAAACTTAAAGAACCGCACTCGAAGTCGATGTTGTATAAAGTGAAACTGAAACGAAACGATGAGCAAAACTTAACTGAAGTAAACTAAACAAACAAGTCCTATACAATGTAATAAGCACTGAGAACGATAATATAAAATGTATATACACCCACACACTTATGAATAAAAAGACGATTCTGTACATTTTAAGATTTTTGGAAAGGATTCAAATTTCTGTCTTTGTGAACCTAGAAGAAAAATGCGAATACTGAATACAACAAATTTAAGATAAATTAATAACTAAAAACAATTGTGAGTAGTTGATAAGTGTGCATAAAACAATTTAGTAATAAATAAATCTAAATTAAAGCATAAATTAATGTCCGTATATTGTTATTTTATTGGAATTTTTTTACAGCAAATTCTCAATTTCTTATATTGAAGAAGTCTAATAAATTGGAGATAGGTTCTTCCTTTAAAAAGAAAGTTGGGATATTAATGAAAACAAATTTTGAGGATAAGATCATAGTTTTAATAATTTGTGGGTATAAAAACTTTATCTAAAAAAAGTTTACATATGCAAACAAAATAAGTCGAACTTAGTGCTATTCTTTTTAGAAATATTTGGACCTTTTCAAATACCTGTTTGTTACCAATTTTTGATCTGTAATTTTGGATACGTAATAATAAACCATTTCTATTATCAAATTGTGAGCATCTAGGTAATATTGACACAATTAAGATAGTGTTATTCTATTTGAACATTCCGTTCGACATTTCATTTAAGTTCAGATCATATTGGCAAAAATATCTATATTCAAATCTAGGCTTGAGAAACTATTTTTCCATTTTTATCATAGTTGGTTTCTGATATCCTCGATTTCCGAGAAGTACATTTGCTGTGTGGTCTGTCGGCATGGATAAATGGGCTTCCAGCGACGACGACCACCGCGGGCAACAGTTTAAGAATCAAAATAAACATCTCGATCTCTCCAAGCCTCGGATAATTCTGTCAACAAACTTTGGTCGCGTAACGGCGCATGCAGGAGCAATCGATGAGATGGAGTTTGGGTTGGATCTCAACTGCAGCATTGAATTACAATCGTCGACATGGAGATCAACATCATGAGGCAATCGCAATCTGCTGGACTCTGAACATCCAAGATTCGATCGTGGCGGCGTAATTCGGTAATGAGTCGAAATATCCATAGACGCCCTGCTCTGTAAATGTTCATTAATAAAAAATTGGGTCTTCCAGCTTGTTTGTTTTCATTCCCTTTTTGATTTCACTCTTTTTCGGTATCAACCGCGGCGGTCTTTTCAGACTCTGGTCTTGAATTTATTATTTTTATTTTCATTATATGAATTTCCTGCTCTACCAAGAACTCGGAGCTCCTCCCCAACGATATCGGTCGTCTTTGGAGTTTATGTAACCAGACGAAGCCACTCGATAGACGGGTTGCGCAAGAGTTTTTGTTGAAATTGGGGGTTCTTTTTGTGTCCCCAAACTGATGTCGATCGCCATCAAGTGGCCATTTTACTTTGTTTTCCTTTGCCTTTTTTATTTATTTTTTTCTAGCTTATTTCTCGGCCAGCAGGAAGTGTCAAATTTCGATTTCTTGTGCATGCAATAAAAAATGTTGGAAAATGACTATAGCCGAAATTGGAATCAGACGACCGTCTGACGGGAAGAGACTTTAATTCCATTCTTATTGATTAAATTTAAATATATGTGCAAATTTTGACGCATATATAACAAAAGGTGTAATAATTAAAAAAAATTCTTATTGAGATCTACCAAATGCCAATAGATAGGGAATATTATTGCCAGCTATTTGTTTTACGTTTGTATACTGTATGCAGATTTTTCTCAAAAGACATTGACTGCAATTTATTACTAATCTTGTCTGGGTGGAACAAACCCATAATATCTTAAAATATTTACCCGCCCATCATATTTCACTTTCGTTGATCGCACACTTAGACTTTTTGGCTCGCAACCAATCCGATAGCAATTTCAACTTCGATTCCTCTTGAGGTCTGCGACATTTTGGGATTCAGCTTCAAGTGCAGATTAAACAATAATTATGAAATTCTGATGCAAATCGCTGGCGACCGAAAGTCTCCTTGTCCCCATCACCTTTTCCCGAGTCCTTTTCATATTTTCAGCCGCAGGCCAGACACGAGTGAAATCCGGGATACGGGCGAAGCTTGAAGTGGAAGTCAGGAGTGGATGAGTCGGAGGAGTGGGAGAAGCGTTGAGTGCCCGGCATCTTGTCAAATGAAATTTATAGACACGGCAATGACAATCGGTAAATTGTCATGGCCATGGGGCTAAGTTCATCGTGGGCATAATCAGTGCTTACGGGCAGAACCCAAGCCAAAACCATCTCGGACAACTGGGATGATTGTCAACATTATTATGGTCCACACACACACACACCGTTTGATTATGCTGCGCATTCGGGGCACTCTTTTTATGCCTGCACTGCGACGTGTGACGGCTTTGATGAGATATACACTGTGAAAAATATATTACCATTGAAAAGTATTTGTTCAAAAAATATCTGACCAAGTGTAGGAATCAAAATTTCGATTTGGACTGATTGCAATAGTTATAAAATTTCATTTAATGTCTACAAAGTCATACAATACAATTTAATTGGTTTTGTAAATATGACTTTTTTCCCCATTAAAAAAATGTAGAAAGTAAATATTTTCGGAAAGTATACAATATTAAAATAATGCATTAAAAGGGAATAATTTATATAAATGTTTTTGGTTGTTAATTTTAAAAGCAGCTATATAAACAAAATTAAAAATGAGTTTAAATATATATGTTTGATGTATATATAAAATTAAAGCTACAGCTCAGGGTAGATGTTGATTTCTTTGAGTGTAGCGATGGGATCGGATGGTTTGGAATGGGGAGTTTCCACTCGGCCTGTCTGGATTGCGGGGTGGTGCATTTTTTATGATGCTCCTCGAGTGGACGAGGATAAGCCGCCGTCGAGCGACACGCTTAAGTGAGCCCGCCCACGCCCCACCCCTCCCTTTTGTCTTGTCTTAATTCAATCGATAGTTCACACATGTAATCGCATGGCCGGATGATTGGGGGGCTTCCTTCTGCATTCCACTTTTACTCTGCGTCTTTGGGTTTGCATGCCAAACACGTAGCGTTGACATTGAACGGGGAATGGGGCTTGCTTTGTTCCTATTCTGCGATCTGACTTTAACCTTAAATCGCTGGCACATTACACATTGGTTTCCAGCAGTTGCCGCGTCACTCTACTCATTAGCTTAATGAAGAGCGGCCACCGAGTCCTTCAGAAGCTCATTAGCTGTCGCATAGTTCGGTCCTCGAAAGTTTTTCACCAAAATATGCTCGTAAATCTCCATTTGGCAGCATCGAAAAAGGGAAATTTATCGCGTCAAAGGACAAGTGCCAAAAAGTTTTCGACCAAAAGCCTATCAATCATTGATGTGTGTATGGGTATAAAATGGGATGGGAAAGCAGAGTTTAATAGTTGTCTTTAAAAGACGAAAGGCTCAACAAAAAAAATGTCTTTAATCAAGAGACTATTATCAATGAAGTATTATAAAAAAGTTGTCAAAAGCTTGGGGTTCAAACTGGATTATTGTACTTTATAATTCATAAAGTGAATATATAATATATTAAGCTTATTTTTATATCGTTTTATTTTTAGGTATGAACATATTAAACTTTTCTAAAAAGATACACTTATTTAAACAACAATAGTATAGAAGATTTCCAATCTATAACAACATACACTGATTTTACTACCATTGTTAATCGCCAAAATGTAATCTCTGCATCTGTCACCTCCTTTCCTCACAGGATTCTTCCCATTTCTAATCTGTGGGCTGGCATCTTGTTCGAGTCTGAATGTCCTTCTTTTCCTCCAAAGAAATCCGCTCATCTCATCCCCATGAAACCGAGTCCATTGTCTTGCGTTTTTTATTGATGGGCTGCCTTGAATGTTTTTTACGACTTCACCCCGGCCGCTTGGTGAATGGTCAGTGTCAGTTCAGTGTCATCCCCTTTCCCAATCTCCGCCAGCGTCATCGCCATCCGTACATCCTTGGCCATGCAGCTCTATGGGGCGTCCCCGAGGCGATTTTCATACTTGGACATCCGTTTGCAATGTATCTTTATCGTTTTATACCGCTTCCGTGGCCAGGACTTCGACTCCTTCGGCGTCGCATAATTTCCGTAATGACCAATGATATAAATGGAACTCATTTGCCAGTCCCCGAGTTCTTGGGCTCCCCAGTTGTATTGATGCGCTGCCGTAAATCGCTTTGCACCCCCTCCGCCGAGAGTTACAAGTTTTCCTGGACCTTCCTTGTCCATGGACGACGTGGACTCCTTTAACGTTTGTAATAATAAATTAAATCACATTTCGGATTTTTCCTTTCTTTGATACCCTTACTAAGGGTTACTTAAAGGGGAAGAACTTCGGATGGTTAAGTAATCGACAGCTTTTCTTGGTTCACAAATATCTCGATTAGACTTTAGTGATAGTTAACTATTACTTTATTTATATTATTTTGGTTTGTTTCCAAGAAAAATACAATAAATGTACCTACTAATCTTATATATCGAATCGTTGTCGAAAAAATCTCTTAAAAAAGAAAATATATTTAATATGTAGATAATGTTGTTTTTTTATCTATGCATGCCTTGTTAAGGTATTTTACCAAAAAAATATGGGAAGCTAATATGATTTATTATATTTTTTTATAATATTATTAAAGAATTGATTTTAATGCTCAATGTATTTACCCAAAAGGAATAAAGCTTAATAGAGGGATACATAATTTGGTATTATTTTATTTTCGTTATACCATTGACATGGAAGGGAACTTGAATTTTCGGCATAAACATACATAATCACTGGCTTTTTAGGGCGCTTTCTGTGCGTCCAAGTGTGTGGGCCCCTGCATGATGTCTCTCCGGTTCATTGGCTGTGGCCCATAAAAAGCGGCAAAGTGGAGGAGGACCAAGTCGTAGCATAAAGCATATGAAGACATTTGCCTTTGCCTTCAACTACGGGCCATTACAAATTGGTTGAATTTGATTTTGGCCCAAAAAAGCGAGCTGCGGTGTCCACTGTTCGAATGGTTTTGGTGGCTTTGGGTGGCTTTGGGTGGCTTTTGGGTTGGGTTATGGGTTTTGTGTCTTGTGTTGGTAGATGGGAGATGGGCAATGGTCGATGGGCGAAACTATTCTGGGGCAACCTTCGGTGAGCGGTGGCTAGAGCAGAAGGTTGAGCCAGTTGGTGAATGCCCCGCCGTCGCCGCCGAAGCCTCAATCTAGATCCGAGAAGCAAGAACCAGGTAGTGCTGGCGACACAGGTGCATCCAAATTGTTTTTGCCTCCATTAATTTTTTTTTTGCTCTTTTCGCTTTTCATTTCGTTGTATTATATTCATTTTGTATTATTATTTTTTTCTTCGCTCCGAGCTGGGTGTTTTCTTTCCGCCAACTCAGCAGATTTATATTGTTGTTCTTTTTTTGAAGTGGCTTATGCAAAGAGACAAACAAAATGCAACCGCTAAAAGCTAGATGAGTAATGAGTACACTTGTACATGGCTCAAGATCGGATATGCATATTTATATTATGCTTGAGCTATGTATAACATAATGCAAATGAGGTTCCAGGAACCGCGTACGGAATGTTGCAGGCCATCTTTCAGTGAGATAACCCAAATATTCGTTGATAAGAATGTTTTGGACCTAGACGGGGAAAAATAGAAACTTTTGGTATGGCTTCCCATGGCGAGTTTTCTAGGAATGACAGGAACGAAAATATTCCAGGTAAATCAAAGGGATATTCAAAATTTAACTTAATGTTAAATGTTTTCCAAAAAGTGGTTTAATGTACTCCTAGTTTTTCAAACCTAGACATGCATACATCGTTCTTTAAATAAATTTCAGATTATTTGTAGACTCTCAATTACCTCGAATATTGTACAACAACCGTGGGAACATAAAGAACGGCTTTCCTCACGTTCCGTTTGCATATATAAATATTTTAGAGTATAAGTGAAACCCCGAGACATTACACAACTCCGACAAGTGCAATTAGAGCTTTGTGATCATCAATCACGGTGCAGAATTCGAGTGGGGAATATTTTGATAATGTGACTTTTGATGACTTCGGAATGAGAATATATAGATTCAAGCTTTATAGATTTATCGGTATATTAAAAAATACTTCCTTTAATTATAATCTTAGAGTGGTTTTCAAAAGATCCTTTTTACTGCAAATTTTATATTTAATTCCTGAAAGAAATCCTTGTATAATCCAACAAAAGAATAAAGCTATAAGAATTTCTAATAAATCAAAAGATTTAGATTTAGAATGTGAGCTTTAGAGCATGACATTGTAACAAATTTCAATTGAAGTATGATCCCGACGCGATTACTATTAATCATTGATAGATCGTCAGTGACAGTATATAGACTTCCCTGAGACTAATTTACTCACGCAGAAGTATCACCTCCGTCTTCCATCGATTAGTGCTGATTAGAAATAAATGCGAAAATAAAAAATGAGAAATACCGGAGATTGCAACACGAGGTGTATGAGGGGGACTTTCAACCAGCTCGTGTCAGCACTTTGAGGTCGACACTGTCGGTCGATGAACCCCAGGCGGAAAACTAAACAAAAATAACAACAATCGGGAAAAAAAATGATTGCCATAGCGAAATAGCGATTTCAAGTCGAGCTCTTTCTCTGCGAAAAGACTACAACAAATTGCACGCGCAACTTGCGCTCATAATGAGGTTACAAAACAATTTATATATATATTCTTTTTTATTAAATCAATTTGCGTTTTTCGCCAACATATTGTTATCAGAGCGAGCAACTTAAAAAAAATGATTGAAACTTTTGCGCAAAAATTAAACTGCTGAAATGGCAATAAAGTCGAGAACAGAAAAAAAAACGGAATCGATTGCAGGGATCAGCATTCCGTCAATTCGCCGCTTAATTTATTTATTGTTGTCGTCGACGGCTGTAAATGCAATTTGATGATTTAATTAATATTGAATTACACTGCCATTAAGAGCGGCTCGGTAATTATACAATCTGCAGCAGAGCAATTGAACTGGAGGACTGGGAGGCAGCTCGGATGTTTCGGGCGGGACTGTACCTGGCTGGCAAGTGGCCTTTAAATTATGCCATGGCAAATATTTAGCCAACAAACACGCACACACAACTTCGGCCAGGACCGGGCTTATTAATTAAGAGACCCGTAGACTCAGACGCACACAGTTTCCCCCGTATCCTGCATGTCCTTTTGCCTCGGAAATCGGGAAATCATAAAAGCGTAAAATCGAAATGCCGCCATTCCGTGGTGGCTGCCAAGCTGACTACTTCCTGTTTCTGGTTACGTCCTGTCTGCCTCCCTCTTTTCCCCCGGCTCCCCTTTATTAACACGCATATCAATTCATTTTGATTGTAATTTATGCCGTAGCCAATCGCTGCATATCGCTCACATCATCCACCCCTCCCACCATTTCGACCGGGGTAATAAAATTATTGTTTATAGATGGATAGATAGCGGTTGCGGCTGCAGTTAAAAGCAACACAAAATTGGAGAAGGAAAGTAAGTCACTTGGCTATTTTGGCTTTTCTTTCTGTTTAGTGGAGCGTGATCTTGAAATGGAAATCGCTTTTCGGCAAGGACACACTCATATGGGGGGGTTTATGATGTTTTGCCAAAGTATTCTTTTAAAACTTGTCCTTGCAAATAATATGGTCGAAATAAGAAAGTTAACGGACGTTTTTATAAATGCCACAACACTGTAATACGATTGGCTGATTCGTCGTCCTTTGCACTCACAACCCATTAAAATTTAAATTTTAATTGAATAAAATTATAATTATTTAAAAAAGTCGTATATGATAACTTTTTAAGATTTTTCGATATCGACACTTTTATTTTAAAATCAAACTTATTGAGAATTATTGTACAAATTTGATATTACCCCCTTAACTTATGAATATTTGTGTTGGTAGTGTATTTGCGATTAAATCAAACCTTTTGGTCGATGCGTAGATTTTATTTTAAAAGTTCAGCTGATATGAAGCTTAAATATATAGCTTTAACGAACATGTATATATATATAAATATGCAGTTTATATATTAATTGATTAGAAAAATTGAACTTTCACTGTCTGATCCGTGGTCGAAGACATCACTGTTTTCGTTGACGGTTTTCTAGCAATAGTTGGTACTCGATTAAAAGTCAAGTAGCCTCTGTTTAGATGATGGGGAACTAAATAATAATAATTATATGGATCAACGACTGTATGGCCAGTGCGACCGGGGGGGCCAACAGGACCTTGGGGGCCAAGGGGACCGAATGGGCCAATAGGACCTTGAGGGCCAATGGGACCGGGGCGACCTACAGGACCTTGGGGGCCAACGGGACCGGGAGCTCCATTAAAACCATTAATTCCATTAAGGCCTGTTTTGCCCACCCTTCCACGGGAACCTTTTTTGCCTGGAGGACCGATAGGACCGATAGCACCTGGAATGCCATCTTTTCCATCAACTCCAGGAGGACCAGGAATACCCGAGAATTCTATATCTTTCATTTTGTCTCGCTCGGTTAATATTCGTTCTAGTTTTCCAAATATTTCAGCTTGAAAGTGCTCAAATTCTTCTCTTGTCACCTAAAAAAACAAGGTAGAGATAATTTGGTTGCTTGCATAATTAATTTGATTACACTAGTTTACATAGTTAAATCAACAAAAACAAAACATTATAGTTTAAAAAATATGGGTGCAATTTGGGAACCGCCAGCATTAATTGCACATTGAAAAACATTATTTTTTAATTTGTATTTACCGGTTCAGAACCATTTGAAGTGCACAACAAAATAAAGAAATAAGTGATGACTACTAGTTTCTTCATTGTTAAAAAAACGAACTAAGCTGAATCAAAGGCAGCCGAAAACTGAAAGCTAATGAGCAATTGTTGTTTGGCTTTCATTATATAGCTTTGTATTTCTTATCTCCTCGATTTGCGGCTATCACAAAGTTCACCCATTTTTTCTTGTTATAAATACAAATTTGATTTTGTATGTTTAAATCTAATTGAAAATGGTTTTCTATACGTATTGTTTGCATATTTGACCTATGTTTTAACATATTTTATAATTTGTTAAAACTACTGATATAATAATACGACATAAAGTATATATTTTAAAGAAACAAACTTCCTCTTAGTTAGGAGTCTAGTTTTCGAAGAAACAGAAGGACGGACAGACGGACATGATTAGATCGACTCTCTTTGTGATGTTGATCAAGAATATATAATCTTTATAGGGTCGAAAATTTCTCATTTACTGCGTTGCAAACTTTTGACTAAAATTGTCATACAAAGCTTTGTATTGTATGTTTTCGTTTATTTAGTGCAGCTTCACATTATTTTATGTACATTTCTTGGTCCAACTGGGAACTTGACCATGACCGCGCTGCACGCTCAGCAATCAACCTAATTGAGCTGCCCCAATGGCCAACTTCTGCCACCCGCTTCTCCCCGAAGCTTAACACAAACCCAAGCCAAACCCAAACCCAAATCCAAGCCCAAACCGAAACCGTTCTAAATCAAAAGACAAACGTCGACAAATGACCCGGCGCAGTGAATAAATGAATAGCAGTAAGTCGGCAACTCGCCATGAATGTATTCGGTAACAATTCATTAAGCAAATAGAAATGTGCGCTAAACGCATTAAGAGATTAGCACACATTGAGCAGGAACAGCAGCAATGTCGATTCCATCGATAAAACCGCCCAGAACTGGGCAGCGAAATGACCCTCATTTGCTGTATAGCCTGGTGGTCTGGCCCATTTTGCTTCTGGCCAAATTTAATTGCCGTCCAAAGGAGACTTTTCACATGCGGTTGGCACTCAGATTGGTCTTCGTGTGTGAAAAGGTGAAATCACTGTTGCTCCTGGCTTTTGGCTTGTTAAGTGCTCATTGTTTCGCCAACAATGTTGATGTTTACAGACCCCCTTTGAAAGGCACATGTGCCCATATGTGTGGTATGATGACGATGATGTGCTGACTGCCACTGTCTCGATGGCAAATGCAAAGCGGAAGTCGCCAGTTGAAAATCACTTAAGTGCAATTTCGGGTTTTGAATTGCACATTTTCGGGTGATGTGGTTGGTGGTTGTTGAGCTTATGGACACACAAATGTGAATCTTACGCAAACAAAGTCCCGCAGTCACAGTATTAATTAATCCTTTGGTTCCTTGGACTATTTGACTGATATTTATTATTATCTAAAGAAATACAAATATATAACCTAATACGTATTGATTATTTCGATCATTTTATTTTAAAAACCCGAACATGAAATTATTTGTGGACCTGATAACATATATTTACTATTGTAATTAACTACTACTTAGACCTTCCTGCTATTATCTCTAGAGAAAAATACTTTTTGAAAAGACATATGGGAAACAGGATATAGTCAAAGGAGAACTTAGCAACTAATAAAAGGAATTGTGATTTTAATTAGTGTAATATAAATATGAAAGCTATATACTTGTGATCTTGTAATCACACCGAATCAAATCATATGTATTAAGCTCGCCTCTTAGTTCCTTTCCATCATAATGTACACCGTTTGCTTACATCCTTCCCAATCAGATTTCCGGCCAACCTGCCAAGGAAGTGACCCACATTGAATCCCTAATTCCAGCGACCAAACATCACGTTTCGTGATCCCTTCTTGTTCCTGTTGTTGGACTCAAATTGTCGCTATCCTTTTCATCATATCTCTCCTTGTCCAACAACTCCCCTCCCCACATTTTCTTATCCTTTACGCTTGTCCGTTGGTCATGTGATAAACGTTTATGATTATTTTTATGTTTCATCCGTTCGAGTCTCGACTCGATGTTGGCTTGCCAATTTGACGCTGATATATACAGGGACTTGATTTAGTTTAAATAGCGCTGAGGGAAATGGAGGAAGGGACACAAGTACACCCAGGAAAAATATCATCCAAACCCAAACTATTCTTATTCAAACTCTATATGTCACTGAAATACTTTTGTTGACAAATTAGAATGTTAAGAAATAATATAGTTGTTAGGAAAATTGTTAACAGAAGGAAGACACACATAATTCTGAAAACTTAAAGCTTTTTAAAGACAATAAAAAGGTTTTTTTTTTACTTTTTTTTCATTAATTTATATTTACATTAGTTTAAAAGACCGAATTTTGATTGAAGTACACACAAACATATTTAAATTAAATTTGTATCATGGTCTATTGTAAATTTTCAGTGTACGCACATCTCCCGGAAAATGCAATTTATGTGTTTTGGGGAAGGGCATCCGGAAAAAAAAGGAATGTGTAGAAGCGAGACACACGTGACTGCAGTGAAGGTTGCTTTCGCCACCCACCGCCCACCGCCCTTTTCCGCCCATATGTGTGAACAAATATTTTTTAGAGGGTGTCCGCCCTTTATGCGGGTCCTTTCTAGTGTCCTTCCTGGTGTCCAGCCCCGGCTACGTGTCATTTGTGCTATCTGGTCGAGCAAATCTTTCAGCTACCGCTCTGTGCTCTTCGCAGCTCCGGACTCCGGGACAATTTCCATAATCGTTGGTTAAACAAGACCGCTCACACATGCCTGGTCAAGCTGACCGCAGTTTATGCCCCGGGTTTTACGGCCATGAGTCCTAAGTCCCAACCGGATCCCTTTTGTGGACCTTGTTTGAATTATGCTTTTACATATTTTTATTCACTTAACACAAAAAGGGGTGCAAGAGCTGGGGCAACGATATACATGTGGGAAGGTGGCCCCTGGCTTAATCAAATTATGGCTTATCTCTTGGATGGTGTCGACATGGCGGAGGTCAAAACGCAAATAGCCATAAACATGTAGATTAAATCCCCATTGACCAGGTCCCGTCACCCACTTGGCTTCCTGGGTGACCTTGTTTCTTCCGGGAATTTTATTAGGTCTAAACCCTTTAATGGGGTCCACAATGCAGCCCATATATATTTGCATATTAATCTCCTGACTCCTGATAATTAAAAGTCTAGTTTTATGGATTGAGGATAAATATTTGACCAAGTTTGAAAGCTGTTCAGTGTAACTGGGATTTTATTAGGTTTATTTTCTAGCATACTTATGGGAGTTGCCTATATGAAACCGTAATAAAAATCGGATCCTTAAATTAATGCCTTTTTAAAGGATTATTAAAAGCGTCCAAAACTTTCTTTTCTTATTGATTTTATATATTTTGGTTTTGAAAATTTAAAAATCAGACTTTACATTATATTTACTTACCTTAAAAATTTCTTCAAATTTTCAAACCTTTGCAGAACATTTAGAAAACCCCTTTAAAATGAAACATTTCAATCGGAATCTAAGGGCAACAATTTAAAGAGCAATTGAGGACAATACTTTAACATTTTTCCCAAATGTACCCCAAAATGAGCCACAAGAAATCCATAAATATCGACTCGGAATCATGGGAGCAGTCGATATGGAAAGACCCAGCAGCAGTCAAAGAACCAGCATCATTTCATGCTCAATTCAAATGTTGTTCAATCTCATTCAAACAATTTGTATCGTAGTTTTATTACCACAATAAAACGGATTAAGCAGCTCGCCCTTCCTTTGGAGCTGGAAAAAGGATACAATGAAGTCAGAACCGAGAAAAGGGGGCGTGCCCTTTCTGGTCGTGTGTGTTCGCCTTTTAAATTGGTTGAATTTCCGCACGAATTAAATTTTTTCCTGCCAAGTGAAGAAGCGAAAAATATTTCACGCTTCGACAGATTGACGATTGGAGGGGAGGGAATGAGGGTAAGCCATATTATAGAGTCCTTTCCGGAATATTTCACACTTCGCCCGTACAAATCAGAGACACGTGGCAAGTGCCATATAATTTATAATGGCGAAAAAAAAAGGGCAAAGGAGACCCCAAAAACTTCGGTGGGTGTCGAATTTGATACGCTCAATATGCTGAAGAATTTTTCAACATTTTTTCAGTGGAGGAAACTTTAAACTTTTCGTCGGTCGTTTTCTGTGTGAGACTTTCCACTGAAGCGGCTAACTCATTTGGCTTAAAATTCCATTATCCTCATTCACCAGCAGATGGAAAATTAATATTTCCCTTTGTGTCATTTTACAGAATATTTTTGTTATTTTTTTTCGAGTTCCTCAAAGAAGCGGTATCTTCAATCAATTTTCTTGGCTTTTACGCTGGGACTATTCCTTTCAGATGGCCAAACCTTTGTTGGATGTCCCTCGGTATTCGTACATATGTCTGATTCATATCTAAATCTATTACAATTCATATTTATATGCCAAGCACACAGATATCCACCCTCCCACACTGAAACTTTTAATTTTACGTGAGAGGGGAAACAGTGTGGTTCGAAGAGATATGTTCTTGCCGCTAGTTCTTCCTTTTTTTTAACCTTATATCTAAATTGGATTTTGTGAAATTTTTAGTAAACAACCACAAACTAATGTACTAAGGATAATAAACGAAAGTTAATAGATAATGTAGGCTTTAAATTGTATTAGTGAGGTATTTCCAATTCCCCACATCATAACTATATTGAGTAACTAATAACGGAAATATGTCTTGTAGTGAAAAGATGGCTTATAGACGATTTTTGTGGAAGATGGTAATTCAAGTTTTAGATATTCAATAATATTAATTTTTAAACTAAACTTATACATATGCCTGGCACTGTATGCTTGCGGGTTAAGTCAAGTGTTAAAGAGTTTTTTGAGAGACATCTTCGTCTCGTTTGGCCTCGTCTTGTGTCGCAATTTCTTTTTGGTCTTGCTACCCCTTTTACTTTTATGATCCCGTTTTCTGAGCGCCGTTTCAGCTTAGCCTAATATCCAAATAAACATACTTTATCCGTTATTGCCGTCAAATTTATGGTTTCTTAAATGGACTGACTTCCTGAATGGAAATATGAGATGGTGGCTGCGATTTTGATAAGGGTTCCGGGGGTTTCTTTTGTGGAGCTTCGTTAAATCTATTGGTCAATAGCTCGACAGCTGGTAAAGTTTATTGGGTGGAGCGATAAGACAGAGGAGAAACTTTCTTTGAAGTTTAAGGAAAATAAAAATATATTTCCCTGCGGCTTTCGATGTGCAGTGCATTGCCAATTGCAATTAAAACAATGTTACAAGGTCACTGTTTTTTTGCACAGATAACAGAATAATGCAAAAAGTGGCGCCGCTAACAAAATTGCAAATTTTGCACATGTACCGAAATGCAATGCTGTGTTGTATGGTATACCATACCTACATATACATATGTCTGCATATATATGTGGAATGCAATTGAAATCGGTGACAACATAATGCCGTACACCTACCCCAATGTAGGCAACAGCAAAAACCAGAAATGCAGCACCAGGAAAAGCTTAATTTTCCAGCGGGATCTTTGCGCAGGTCCGAGACTGGAAAATGAATTACGTAGTGTCCTCCAAAAGGAGGGGAATCCCCTCCTTCAGTGCGTATCTGTGTGTGTGTCTTTTGTAATGGTGGCTGTTGTTTAGGTGTGAATTCTGCAGAGAGAAAGAGTAAAGTTGTGTGTGTGAGAATGAGAGAGATAGAGAGCAAGGACTAAATAGGAATTAACGGTAACAACAACAAACCTATTGGAGCAAGCGCATAATTCATATTTTAACAGAAACGCCCACGCCCACTCTGCATCTGTGTGTGTATGCTCATTTGGGGCTGTGTGTGTGCAGGTGCTTTTCAATTATCCTTGTTGAAATGTTAAATAAATAAAGAAGTACATACATAAACGTCTTTTCATTTACTTACCTTTGCATATAAAGAGATTCTTGCATATGTTTTCATTGTTTTTACAGTGCTAATTGTGATGAGTCCCAGCCACCTAATGTCAACTTATTAATAATTATATGTACATTAAGTTTATTATATGTTTTAAGACACTAACATGTCTGGGATATCGGTCTGTCTATATGAATTAAACTAACAATAGGTACACTTCGTCTAAGTATACATATTAAGCACAAAATTTCTTCAACTTTTTGATAATATTTTAGAAATCAATATAAGAATTAAGCAAGATCGTTCGAATACAAATAGACAACTTTTATTTTGTCTTGGTTATCGAAAGATTATTTGATTACTATCAATTACTATAAATTAAAAATCAATTGAGATAAAAAGCTGAATTTTGAAATATGTATATAACCCACATGGCGAATGAGTTATGTTGGTAGCAGTTTTATTTTCTTGATCAACATTACTTGAGCACACTTGCAAACTCTTATAACGACTTAACAAAAAAGTAGGTAAAAGTAATTGAATATCAAACTTTTATTCCCTAATTGGTAATTCCTTTTTAAAATATTTTATTTCCATTTTTCTTTTCATACCATTAGAGTTATAATTGGCTTATAGCATTTCTTTAAGATTGCAACTCTTCCTTTGAGCAAAATACCCATGTAAGTGGGAGAAGAAAGTTAAGACATCATTAGAAAATCATGTAGTGCATTAGTCGAACTGTCGTCGCCACACCCCACACTCCATGTGCCATTCCCCAGGACCTCCGACCGCACCCATTCCTCTCCGGGAGGCAGCCGCAATTGCCATTATGTTGAACACGCAAGTCAATTGATGCAATTTGTCCGACCAGCCGGAGAGCGTTCCTCCGGCCAGGGGCAATTTCCCCAGTGACAATCTGACATGCCGTAACAGGTTCACGGTCTGACGAATAGTGGGTGGTGCCCTGCGTGGGTGCAGGGGTTCAATGGAGTGGGGAAGAGGGGGTGAAACCGACCGCCTGCTCTCATCAACAGTTAGCAGCTTCTGCTGGTGATTTAAGGGTTGCCAGCCAGCCGGTTCGCCCTTAAATGAATTGCGGCGATTTATTGCGGTAATACTCATTTAGCGGACCTGCCCCGAGGGGAGATGAAAAAATAGAACATGAACGATATAGTTAAAAGAACAGACCACGAAATACCTAGTACTATCAAGAGTTTTTACCAATTTTTTCCCTATCCTTAGGCTGAAAGCTTCCTCTAAAATGGTCGGATTTGAAGACCCACTTTATCAATGTATAAAGACTGTCCGATATTTTCGCAAGACTTTGCGAAAACAAAGTCATAATTACCGAGTTTTAAAATAATTTTCTAAGCATATAAGAAACTTGTTCGAAGTCAACAAAATCCAATTTTAGACTTTACTAAGTTGTAGCTAACTTTTTATACCCTTGCAGAGGGTATTATAATTTCAGTCAAAAGTTTGCAACGCAGTGAAGGAGACATTTCCGACCCTATAAAGTATATATATTCTTGATCAGCATCACCAGGAGAGTCGATCTAGCCATGTCCGTCTGTCCGTCTGTCCGTCCGTCTGTCCGTCCGTCTGTCCGTCTGTCCGTCTGTCCGTCTGTCCGTCTGTCCGTCCGTTTCTACGCAAACTAGTCCCTCAGTTTTAAAGCTATCTGCTTGAAATTTTCCCAAAAGTTGTATTTCTATTGCAGGTAGTATATAAGTCGGAACGAGCCGGATCGGGCCACTATATCATATAGCTGCCATATAACTGAACGATCGGAAAAGCCATAACTTTGGTGTTTTTAAAGTTAGGAAGTTGGGATTTTCTATGGGTTTTATTTTTGGCTAATCAATCCGACCTACCAAATTTCATAAGGATCGGACGACTATATCCTATAGCCGCCATATAACTGATTGATCGGAAAAGCCATAACTTTGGTGTTTTTAAAGTTAGGAAGTTGGGATTTTCTATGGGTTTTATTTTTGGCTAATCAATCCGACCTACCAAATTTCATAAGGATCGGCCGACTATATCTTATAGCTGCCATATAACTGAACGATTGGAAATAACATAACTTTGGTGTTTTTAAAGTTAGGAAGTTGGGACATTTTATGAGTATTAAGAATACATCATATGAATAATTTTGGACAATATAATTTATAAAATATTCTGCAAGGGTATATCAACTTCGGCTCCGCCCGAAGTTAGCTTTCCTTTCTTGTTTTTTAACAAAAATCGAATCAATCGAGAAAATTTAGAAAACAAACTAGTGCTTATAAACACTCTGAAAGTCTACAGACCTTATACTACCAATAACCGATTTTGTTTACAACTGCAATCTTAATTCATTTTTACAGATTTTTAATAGGTCCTTCAAGAAATAACCTTTTTCTTTCTATTACATAAATCCGCTTGAGTGGAACATACCCGACCACCCCAATAGAGGGTATAAAAAGCGACTTGAGTCGAGTTGAGTGCAAACAATGCTCACAATAAAAATAAATCTCTCCGGAACAAGTGTGTGTTTTGTTACACCCGTGGGAAGTCCGGGCGAGAAGTTGTCAATTACTTGCGAATCGATCTGGCCAAATTCTGTTTTGGCATTCATGTCACCGCCAGGTGACCGGGACATCCTCGTATAATCGCTCTAATTGGGCGCTTTCATAGAAGACATGCCGAGAAAGTACGTGATATGCATTTCCACCTTTCTAGGCAATTAATAAGCAAGCCAATTTGAAATTCCAACCAATCGGCGGCCACGTAAATCAGCATTATGTCGGGGGCAATGAAAATGAGCTCTAAATTCAATTACAGGCCTTGTCTTCTCCATTTTCGTAAGTCCCCATTCCAGCATAAATCAAGAGTCCTGGCTGCCTGGTCCTGAGATGCTAATTTACCCGGGTCCCGAAATGTCTTAGTAGATGCTAAGCGGCTTTGCCGCTCATAACTCACCCGGACACTTTGTCACATTATGCATTTAAATTTAATGTGTTATTTATGGGCGGATTTGGCGACCTTCCCGCCTGCGATTCCTGTTAATTAGAAAGTCAGTTTGGAACAGTGATGTCAGGGGTACTATTTTTCGTAAAATTACTATTTGTTATACTCTGAGGTAAGTTTATTTCTTAAATATATTAAACATACATAGTTTATATACTAGATCATTAAGTAAGACCATTTAAAAATGTTTAAACCAATGAAACCTACAATCATAAAAGCTTTTTTATTGAATCAAATTTATCAAATACTTTAGTTCTCTAAAATATGTTAATTTAAAAAATAAAAACAATAAATAAAAACTGTTTCCGGAACAAATGATAGCTTAAAAACATGTCATACAAATTTAAGTTAAGTTCTATGTATTTCCATCCCTTTAAGTCCAATTTGAAGCACCTCTGCTATCACACCTCTATCCCTGATGCGTGGGAGTACTCATTGGTCTACCATGATACATGGGGGTACTCTATTAATTACACTCCATAATGGTTACTTCCGCTGGGCCACATAATAGCATAATTAATCGATATTAAATGAACAGCAGCGGAACAATAAACGCCGGAAGCCAGCCACAAAAGGTTAAATTAAACGAAGTAATTGTTACACAGCCTCAGCCGTCGAAAATCGACCCCCACTCACAGTTTGGCCATCCCTGAGGAGGGTTGTCCTGACTGGGTCCTTTACAATGCATAATAAACAGTCGAGCGGGCACGGAGCAAACAAAAGTGGGGAAACGAAGCTCGTTGAGATTTTGATTTTTAAACGGCCCATCGGGGGGTGGAAATATAGACTGGTTGGGTTTCAAAAGACAAGCCTGTAAAGCGCACAAAGTCACACGGCAGGTGGCGTTGAGCATTCAAAGAGTGGGTGGGGACCTTAGCACACAAAGTGATTTAAATGCATTTCTAATGGGATGAAATTATATTCTGTCTGAGCTTGTGGTACTCCCCCTCTTATATCAATTCAATTCCCACTCCGATTTGCGGTTTCAAGGGGAGGACATGAATATGCATGGGATTGCGCTTTTGATGTGCTAACCATCAAAAAGGCATAACCGAAAGGGGGCATCTTCATCTTAAGCAAACTTACGACCAACTTAAACTTAAACTGTACATTTTTTAATTAAGATTTCTCCAATAAAATAATAATTAATGTCCTTTAGGGCCAGCGTCTTGATAATTTGATGGCCGGCTAAAGCCGCTTAGAATAATTTCAAAACAACAATTTGTGACTGCCGCATTTCAGGGGTCACATTTAGCATCTTATCAGAGCTTAGCAGCTGGGGTCACCACTCGCGTCGATGGCTAGCTACGGAATGTGATTACAGCTTTTGGCGCTCCTGTTGAAATTTCAGCGGTTTTAAATGTCCATTGGGCGGGGCAAAATTTAAATCCAGGCTCTGAATTGATGGTCCGTAGGTATAACGATGCAGACGCTTCGAACGACCTCTAAACTCTTCTTCTGATCCAGAAAAACCGATTATTTTGTGAACCAAGTGCGGCTCTGGCAAATAGAAGTCATCGCCTAAAGAAAGAGATGAAAAAAGCATTAGAAATTAAGATGCAAAGGTGGTTTCTTAGACATACCTGGTAGAACAAAAACCACAGATCCCTGGCAGTCATAACCCACCGGCAGATACATAGTAGTGCCTAATCTGCTGCGCTTGATGGCAAAATCCAAAAGATTCTGGTACTCCTTGACTCCGATTAGTCGCGATAATTCGTAGACTTGTGGCGGAAGCAACCAAATTTCACCGTGATCGACCAGTTCCAGCAGTTCTTTCGGTATCAGCCACTAGTAAAGTTAAGAAAATAATAATTTAGTTAAATGTCGTTATTGGAATGAGATACTAACCAGCGTCTCCTTAACCTCCGAAGGTTCCGCCAGCAGTTTGGGCTGCTTGTCCACAAAAGCCATAAAGAAAACCGTCTCGTGGCTACGGGCATTTAAAAATAATACTACATAAATAACAATCAAAAATATTGACATACACCTATGATTTATCACACAATAAAGTTATCACACAATAATTCTATTTAAGCAAACTTATAATTTAAAGAGATCTATTACTAAGGATATGTGGTTCTCAATTCAATACCCACCCATAGCGCATGAATCCCGGACTCCCCCAGGCGGACCATTCGTGCAGGGCCCACAAATCCGGCACCACCTTTAGCTCCCGGCATAGGGTCAGGAACTCGCTGGGCTTGTCGTGCACCCGTCGCTGCCACTCCTCCAGATCGGGCACATCCTGCACACAGATCACGCCACCAAAGTCCAGCTGACTTCGGTTGCGGCACATCAGCAGACCCACCTCTTCGAAGCACTCCCTCACGGCGGTGAGTCGCAGTGTAATCTCCCTGAAAAGGCAAAGGTCAAAGATTAAACTCCTAATCTAGACGAGGTAACTATAAACCTTGGACCCACCGCGACCAAATGCTGGAGCGCTTGAAGAACCTATCGTAGCAGCCGGTGCCCTGGGGTGCCAGGATGGCTGGACGGTCATCGCGGATGAGCACTAGTCTTCGCAGTGCCTCCTGCGGGACCCCAAACTCCTCCAGGTACTGCAGCCAGGCCACGCTCTCATCGGCCTTGTCAAGGAGTCCACCTGGGAATACGGTCTGGTTGATCATCATTGCCGTGACATCACTGCGTTTAAGCATTAACAACTGTAAGATCGAACGGAATGTGAGATTCATTAATTTCTGGTGAAGATTTTTAACTTACCTTGTAATCCTTGCTTTCGCCAGCATCTCGAGACACCAGGATCACACTGGCCGAGGTGCGCCACTTGGCCGGAAAAGCAGTTTGGCTCATGCTTAAGTTTAACAAAATTTGTATTTATTCCCCCACTCAAATCAAAATGGTGTTTGCTCCCTCCAATCAGCTGATTGCCTTGTTCCTATCGATAGCGATAATGCCTCCTCAAGGAAATTATCGATATCCGCTTTAAAGCGCGCTGAATATTTGTAAATTTAAATTCGTGCGAAATTCAAACTTTTACCTTTTGCAAGATTAAGCCACAAAAGAATAACTGGGGCATGCTTCACTAGAAGAACAAAAAACACAAATAGATTAGGTGCTCTCACACGTGTTCGAAAACATATTTAAGCGCTGCCCTTGGACAACAAGAGACACTTGCAATTGGTGTTTCCACTCGAAAGCAACTTGCAGTTGAAATGAAAGTTTTGATCACGATCTTGTTTCTGGGCTTGTGCTTCAGTGGTAGCCAAGCGGAGAAGGAGGAGAGCATCGCTGGTCTCCTGAAGGATAATGCCGAAGGCTTGGAGGCGGCCAATGTGCTCCTGTCCAGGATCGCAATAGTCAGCAAGGAGGCCCAGGTTGGCTTGGCGGAGCAAAAGGAAGCCCTGAAATCCTTGGCCCTCGTGGAAGGGCTTCTGGCTAAACTCGCATTGGCCCTGGAGGCAAGTTCCCAGAATCTGGTGGCCACCTTATTAAACATCTCCAAGGAGGGCCAAGAGTATGGTCATCGCACTGAGGCAGAACTCCTGGCACTGGCCCGCCTTCAAGAGGGCACCAAACAGCTGCTCAATGTGCTGGAGGCCAAGCTGGATGCCTACCAGAGGCATGTGCTCCACAGTTCCCGCAACATTGACAAGAGCATCGATGGACTGGCCAAGCTGATCACCAGGACGGTGCTGCCCCAAATTAATGGGCTTAAATGCACCTTCGACAACCTGGAGACATCCCAGATCAACGTAGAGGTGGAGCTGAAGAATTTGGCTGGAGTGAAGGAACTCAGCGAGGACTCGAATCACAAACTGAACGTGCTGGAGCAACAGCTGAAGCAGATTAATCAAACGCAGGAGCAGCGCCTGGACATCCTGATCGATGCAGTGAAGCATTTGCAGCCACTAAATCCTTGGAAAGTGGACGCTGTCCTGCGTGAACTGATCATCTCCCAGAAACGCATCGAGCTGGATCTAGATCAGTGCAGCCGTCACTCGCCCTACCCTCAATATGGCCACCAAGATGAGTCCTATGCATCCAGCTATGGAGTTGAAGCTCTGGAGCCTCAATATTCTCAACCCAAGCCCAAGCAGGTGGATCTGGAGCAAGTGTGGAGCATCAAAGAACCTCCAAAAGAGGGTAAGTTTGCTTTTTTTTCACACCAGGTTTGACTAAGTAATAATCAATTTTTCCATTTCCAGGAGAGTATTCAGGAAACCACAGAGTAACTGCCTATGCCCAGTCACCCGAGCCCAAGAAAAACCATCAGAGCACCAGCGCCGTGTCCTGGCGGGAGTCGCTACCCTGGGACACAGCCCCCACATACCAGTCCGCTCCAGTTCCCCATCACCAGCATTGGAAGCCAGCGCCTGCCTACGGTCCCACGTCGAAGCCTAGACCGAAGCCGTGTCCCAAGGGAGAACACTCTGCTCCGTCATCCCACGGACCTTTACCGCCGGCCCACCATAATCCTGAACCTTACAAGCCTTCTGTAGAATACCATCCTAAATCTAGCCACGAGCAGTCCCCACACAAGTCCGAGCCCAAACCACAATCAAACCACGAGCAATCCTACAAGCCACCATCATTCCAGGAGCAATCCTACAAGCCGCAATCACGCCAGGAGCAATCCTTTAAGCAACCAGAACCCATCCAGCAAGGAGAATCCTACAGGATTTGGTACGGAGATGGTTCACTACCCCAAGGATACTGAAGACACATCGAGCTATCACAAAGCAATTCCCGAAACCGATAAATCTTTTAGCAACAATTTATAGTACACATACATACTTACATATATAGCAAATTGTAATCGTCATTTTTAAAAAAAACATGTCATAAATAAACGAATAAATATTAATGCAAACTAAATTCCATTATTTTATATTTTTCTTAACAAGGAACCAAAATATTTCGAAAAACCAATTGGAAATGTTTGTGTTTTTATGGAAATCCACTCAATATGAAGCACAAAAACAGTACTATTTATGTGAACATTTGGTTAAGATCACGATTACTTATTATCATTATTATTTTAAGTTTTGTACTCATAAGATAACAAAACTTTTCGCCTTCGCTTCCTAAAAGGCTTAACATTAACTTTTTTGGTTGCAACAAAATAGGGAATAGGACGAATAAGTATTATTTTTATACCCTTGCAGAGGGTATTATAATTTTTTATGCACTGCATTTTATTGAAGTCCTCAAAAAATAACTTTATCAAACCATTTTAGATGTAAACGAAGGCATTTAAGAATTAAAGGACAAAGCTCGGAAGAATCCTTTAAAGTTTCAAGCTATTGAGAAAATGATTAGGAGAAAATATCTAAGTATCCTCAGAAATAATACAATAAAATTTAAAGGCGAAGGACTTTAAAAAAATGGAATTCTGAAATGCTTATGATACGATAAGTTAGTACTTAATAATTTAACATTGCTATCAGACACATAAAGACCTATTTTCTTAATGAACTTTAACGAGAAGCAGCTGCGGCACGTTTGTCGTTGGTATCGTTACTACCGTTACACACAAAAAACCAGGTCAATCTCTAACTCAAGAGTTTAGAAACAAAGAAGAATTTCAAGACGTGCCGTCTACGTATTTTCTTATAAAGTCGATGAACCGAAAATTATTTAGTAAGACAACATGAAACATGGTTTGCTTTTTGTTTGAGCTTAGACATCAGATTGTGACCAAACATTTGATCGCGACTATCTTGTTATGTGCACGAATTAGTTGATCTGTTTTGAAGAGTTATAAAAGTTTGCAGATTAGAGAAGCGTTTGCAGCTGCTAAAGTACAAGTGGGTGGTTTCTGGACTGATAGAACTTAACCCAGTCTGAGACACGTTTTGGACCTTAAGTTGGGCTACTTAAGGTGAACTTCAGATCGAAAGAAGACACACAGCTGCCGACGTTCGACAGAGAAGCACCATGAGGACCCAAATGATTTTGGTAACGATCTGCATTTGCCTTTGCATTGCTTCAGCCGAGGATCTGAATTCAAACCCCGAGATCCGTGGCGACGTGATAAAGCTATTAAAGGGAACCGAGAAGCTTGTCGTTGGGGTGGAGGAAGTGAAAAGAGTTCAAAAGGGCATCGAGGAGAAGTTCAAGCATCAACGAGATGAGATCGAACTTATTGCAGGACTGGAGGGTGCACTAGCCCAACTGGAGGGAAAAATTCTCAGTAGCTTCCAGGAAACTGCTTCCGGAGTTGGCAACTTGACTGCCATTGTCAAGGCAACTCAGAGCCAAAATGAACAGGCCATTCAGAACCTAACAAAAGTGGAACTGGACATCAGGAGTGCACTAGGTCAGCTGGCTAACAATCAGAACAAATACGAGCAGGACCTGGATGCGGTGGCCTCGTCCGTCAACTCACATCTAGGCGAGATCCAGCAGCTGATAGGTCAGGCCGTCATCAGCCAGCTCTTCGGGTTGGACAACAAAGCCAAGGTTCTACAGCAGCAGCAGCGCAATATCATTGGTCAAGTGGGATACCTGGAACAACTTAATGGCTTGGCTGATCGCGCCAATCGCAAGGTGAATCAGCTGGAGTGGGGTCTAGTCATACTCAATCGCACCCAGTCCGAGAGCCTCAAAGGCATCGAAAACACTGTTCATGGAGTGCAGGTGGCTACTTCTCAGATAGATAATAAACTTGGTGCCCTGCTGGACAACCAGAAGAGCATTGAAAAGACACTGGAGGGCTGCAAGCGCCAAAACCCCCCAAATCATAAGCCCCACGAGGTCTGGACCCATCCGGAATACGCCCCCGGTTCGCAGTGAGTTTTTAAGCCTAAATTTTGATTTCCTTATTTCTCTATCCCCATTTAATTTTTAGATCAAAGCCGTCGCAGAAACCGGGCTTCGAGAGCAGATATGCCTCCGAAGAGGAGGCTGACTACCTTCACAAGCTGTGGTACGGTAAAAGGCAGGAGGAGTAATCTAGACAGCTCTAATCAAACAACCCTAGCCAATTTATAAGAAAGGCCTCGCCTTCATATTTGTATCTGCCTTTAACTCCTCTTTTACTTTCCTCAATATATTAAAATTGAATAAAAGTACATCTAATTGTTCAATCTTCTCTCTTTTTATAAATTAGTCTATAATAAATAAAACAAAAAGGATTTAAGAAGGTAGAAATACGTATAAAACCAAATAGAAAATAAATCTCACCTACATTATAATATTTTGGCCAGACTACACATTAAAACCAAATAAATGCACATTTTATCAAGGAAACAGTTTTCGCCTCTATAGCTTGGAAGGGTTTAAGGGATGTACTTGACCATCATCCCGGTCAAAGTTTATGAGCAGCTGCGACTGATGCTGGTTCCAGTGCTCAGACCGATGTAGTTTGTCAGTGGCCTGTGAACGAAATTCCTCGACTGACAACCCGGTCTCTATTTTATCGCTACTAGCATCTGGATCGGCGGGATAGGCTTCGTCTCCTGGCAGGAGGTGGACAGTTCCATTTTTGCATTTGTACATCACAGGATGGATCAGACCAAGGCCTTTGACCTCACGCTCTGCGGCGAATTGACGCAAACTTTCCAAAGAGGAGAAGTTTAGGATGCGCGAAAGTTCATAGAATTGGGGAGGCGGCAACCAAAGCTCCTCTCTCAGGCACGCATGAAGGTAATCCAATGGGGAGCGCCACTACAAAAAGAGAAAGTAAGAATAAGTGTTATATATTTACATTGATATACGTTACGTATACGTAATAATCTTTTAAGCAACGGATAAGGTCAAAGTATAATTTATAAAAGTTTAAGATCCCGCCCACTTACCGCACAATCCTTGACCTCGTTGGGTTCTATGTGTACGCTGGGCTGCTGCTCCAGGGCGGTCATAAAGAAGGCCGTCTCAAACCGTTTCTTGAAAGTAGACGGCGTGCGCCAGGCGGACCATTCGTGGAGTGACCACACGTCTGGAAATACATCCAGCTGCTTGCAAAGCTCCAGGAACTGACTGGCATCGTTGTGGACTATGTGTTGCCAGTGGACGCGATCGAACTGCTCATGGAAGCGACCGTAGCCGCTGGTGGAGGTCAATGATTTACTGTCCCTGCACAGCAGGATGCCCAACTCCTCAAAAGTCTCGCGTAAGGCAGTTAGACGGAGCGCTAGAGATCTGTAAAATGTAAAAATAGAAAGAACCAGGACTTTTCTAGAGAAATATTTTAGATTCATACGGATCTATCGCTTCCTTATCCGACTTGATCTTAAAAATCTCCGGCCGTGGTCCCTTCACATGACCCACATCTTGCAACTTGGCGGCACTGATTTCGTTTCGGCGAAAGTGATCCAACCAGGCGGGCGAACTGTCTGTGGCATCGCAAACTCCGCCCGGAAACACCGAGGACTCCGGCATAAAACTGGATTTTTGCGTTCGCGTAAGAAGGAGGGCCTAACAGTGCAAATGATTATGTTTATATGGTTTTTATTAAAAATAAAATGTAACTCACATTGTAGTCGAATGATTTAGCTTTCGCTGCTGAGTCCTTGGCCAGCAGGATCAGGCTGGAAGAGGAACGGATTTTGGGCAAGAGCTTCGACATATTTGTTTAGGTAACACGGCGATATCGATTGGGTGGCCGGTATTATCGATTACTCGCCAGCTGTTGTTTACGTTTTAAATACCCTCCACCTGTTGAATACAAGGGTATATTGACATGGTTAAAATTTAAAAAAACAAAAAAAATAATTTCGACATGTTTAAAACAATTGAATAGCTTTCATATTTTCTAATCTTTAAATTTCATCGCTTGATTATTATTTATAAATCTATTAGCAATGGTATCTAATAGTCGTTTCTCTCAACTTACTTACTCATTGTTCTTGCTTTTATTGATATAAAACTCAAGATCAAAGGTTTGTGTTAGTCGAGCAGGAAATTTTATTGCAGTGGACTCTAAACTATGGGAGCTGCTACTCAAACTGGATCTTACAGGCCTTCGGCTAGCCTAATATTGGCTGCCAAAGATGATACTTTAAAAGAGTATGACTACAGGGTGGGTATCTTTATTAAAATTCGAATTTAAATTAACTTGATTACCTTTCGGTAAAGTTACTTTTGATCAAACGAACTGAGGCTACTTCTTATGCATTGAATCACTGCGTCTTCCCTGGCGGCGTTTTTGATCCCAGAGAGGACGAATCTCCTGAATGGATCACTTATTTCAAATCCTTTGGCGTGACCGATGACCAATTCAAAAAGCTCAGTCACAATCAGGATAATCCCAGGCCTGAATTTCTGTCCAGAGGAAAACACTTTTCAAGGGACATCGCACTGCGGCTGACTGCGCTTAGGGAAACCTTCGAGGAGGTGGGCATCCTGATCTGCACAAATCAGGACAGCTTGAAAAGTTGGGATTCTAAGTCCGGACATCCTCGGACTTTGCTCCTAGAGCCAAGCGATCGTTCTGAGTGGCAGCATAGAGTTCACAATAATGCCTCACAGTTTCTGGAGCTGTGCAGGCACCTCAATGTCATCCCCAACCTGTGGTCTCTGCAGGAATGGTCAATTTGGAGGACAGCAGCTACAGCCAATCGAAAATTTGACACGGTTTACTATGTCACCACGCTGGATGAGCAGGTCAATGAGGTAAGTCTCCTACTGGAACCTCACGAAGTGGCCTCAGCCCATTGGATGAGTCCGGCGGAGGCCTGGACAAGCTCCCAGGATGGCACCATTTGGCTTCCTTTCATGCTGCTTTATGATATCGCACGTCTGATGAACTTGCATAGCTGGCAGGAGCTTCTTAAGTTTTCCCGCCAAAGAAGCAGCCGAGGAAGCACAATGGTGCAGCCCGTTTACTATCGCTGCGATGACTGCATGTTTGGAGTGCTTCCTGGAGATGAACTGTATCCTAAGGAGCCTCTCACTTGCACACAATCTATCATCTTGCCTGGATCGGTGAATGAACTTCATGGCAAGGCCCAGCAATACAACCGATATATAGTCTACGATTTCCACCGGGTCGTTCTGGCATCCAACGTCCCGCCCTGCGACGGTCATCTGCCATTGCAGTCGCTCGTTAACACCAAACTAGCCAAGTTGTAATAAAAAGTAGTAGTTGTTAAAAAAATATATTTCTGATTGGCTACAACAAATTACCGCTCTCCAGCTCTGCCTGTATGCCGCGACAGGCGTGACACAGCCCATCCTGTGCATCCAGTCGCCTCTTTGCCAAATCTTCGAGGTCATCTCCGTTCTTATACAGACCTACGCCGGCCTCTGAAACAGATCTTGAATACTCAATAGCCAGCAGAGTGTCGGAGATTTCGGAGTCTAGGGCAGACTGGCATTGGATACAAAATGCCTGCTCTGGATGGGCATTGACTGCTATTTTGTCACCAGTTCGGAACACTGTGGACACGGTGGATGCGTAATTCTTCTGCAGGTTAGCCACAAAGGCCGTCGTGAGGTTCTGTAAGCTGGCTGTCTGTCCTCTCTCCTGACCATATCGAGAGCCACTCTGCAGCAGGGTCTTCAACCGCTGGGCATGTATATAGAACTGAATCTCCTGCTCGTTAAGGTCTTTAAGGGGTCGCAGTAATTTTATATCGCCTGCTAACCGATCGTCCAGTAGAGCCACATCCAAGGCTGCACTGCCACCACGTCCTAGGGCTATCGCGATCAAGAGCTGGGTGGCCAAATCCACACTTATACTGGGCTCAAAGACATGGCTACATTGTAACTTCTCGGCCACCGAGGCAACAAGGTTTTTGCGCTGCTGCTGCAGGAAATCCTGGCGAGCTGTCAGGCTGCGCAGACTCCCCAGTTTCTTTAAAAGCTCGTTGGTTTCTTTGGGAGAAGGACTGTACTCCTTGATTCGCTGCAAGGAGCTGGGCAAGGCACCCAACTCAATCACATAAAACTCAAAGGGAGTATATTGGGTAGACAAGGTCTTGATCGCATCCATGTCTATTGGAACACGCTCCTGCACTTGCTGATCCTCCACGTAGAGCACACGTGCGTTGCAGTGAAGTCTTTTAAACGTGTTCTGCGTTTGGGCAAAGTGTAGCATGTCCAGGAGTACTAAAGACTCTGCGGACCCGTCCAGCACAAGGAGCACCTCGGCGTTTCGTGGCAGGATCTTGGCTGCACCCAGAGCAGCCCGGAATTTGTGCCTTGCATATGCCAGGAAGCAGTCGCGGCATTCCTCCGTTCGAAAGTTTAGTTTATAGAGTTCGCTGGAGGTTAGGCCGCATTTGTTGCAATCCCCTGGGCGGAGGACGATTCCCGAGGGCAGGGATTCAGCCACCATGGCATGGACGGCCCCCTCGTCTCCAAAATCATCTTCGCCAATGCTGCACATGGCAATTATTTACGCCCAATCAGAAGAATACGAATTTCACAGATAAACGAAATGACCAGGGATGGAAACGTTTAAAATAATATCTTGACAATTTAGCCTTTTTCAAGCCAAATATTTTTGTTTGAAACGGGTGTGTCACAGAAATCCTCAGTTCTGAAACTTGTTTTCAAAACCAACCGTCCGTACTTGCTTAAGATGTAAATATATTGTAACGACTTTAACACAGTTTTTTTAAGATTTTAGAAATTATATTACAAACATATTTACATTATCAGTTAAGTTGTTTCTTGCTACTCCTACCACTCGATAGTTGACAGCACTGGTTCGAGGGCATACGCTACGGCTATCGATTACTCTACCGATATATCGACTACGCAGCCTAGACTCGTCAAGAAGCAACCTTGCGACAGGAAAAGTGCAGTGAAAATTACAAAAATAACTGTTTAAACTTAAATTTGTTGTACAAATATTATTCATAAGTTATATTTAAGGCTTGAGGTATGTCCCATAAGTGCTTGTGTGGGGAAAAGCGTCCAAAAAACACATGAAATTTGGGCGCAAAAAACTGGGTGCTGCTGGGTCGTATGTATGTGAGTGCCTGCGTGCCTGTGTGTGTGTGTACGTGTGTTTGGCTGTGTGTGCGTCGTGCTCGTACGCAAGCAAAAAGTATCGGGTAGCAAAATCGAGAAACTTTCTTATTGACGATAGCCGAGCAAGAAGAAGAAACAGCTCAGCGCTGACATTTAATTGAAAGGGCAGGGAAAAACTTGCCGAAAAGTGAAATAAACGCAGAAATCTCATTGCAGAGGATCAAAGCAGAAGAAAACGTTGCCGAAAGTCAAAAGTGCCCCAAATTCCCGCAAAAACGTCACCTGAGCGGCAGAGGTCATCTTAAAAATACATTTTCGGGCGTGTGTACCCCCCGTGCACGATTAACCCCCCACCCAGATTAGCCCAGACCAACGCAAGTAGCCCCAACCAAAAAAAATACATCAACCAGTAGCAACCGCCCGCCTCAGCATGATACTGGAAAATTCGGACAAGCTCAAGGATTGGCTGAGCGTGGTCCTGGAGCCACTGTAAGTTCTTGTTTTCTCCTCTGGAATTCCTATATCTTACTTTCAAATCCCTTTTACAGCTGCGATGCAGACTCCTCTGCCTTGGCCCGCTATGTCATCGCATTGCTTAAAAAAGACAAATCGGATAAGGACCTCAAACGGATCATGATCGAGCAGCTGGATGTCTTCCTGTCCGAGGAGACGACGCGCTTCGTGGAGCGCCTCTTCGATGCCATTGCCACCGAGGAGTACCTGACGGTGCCTGCCGCCCCCTGATAGCGGCCTCCAGTGCCTCCGCCGCTGAGCTGGATCTCGACCACGAACTAGCCCTGGCCATTGACGGGGCCCATGACGATATCGAGGCCGTGCTGGCCGCCGATTCCCCGCCGCCGGCACCTAAAGACAATGTGATAAACCCAGATAGCAATCAGGTCACGCTGGAACAGGCAAGCCACGATGCCAGGGAAGCCGAGGCGCTGGCCTTTATCAGCCAGGAAGCCGGCATTGCCTCTCACGCCTCTACAGATGCCAAGCCAGCCTTCGATGTGAGTCTTTTGTGTCTCTCACTGTTAGCATCTTTTGTAATTTCCATATTTTTCAGCAGCACAAAACCAAAGAGTCCCATAATCCTCAGTCCGCCTCCAACTACCAACACCACCATGTGCGCAGTGCCAGTCCACCGGGCAGAAGCAGCGGCGTTAGCGGGACAGGAGGAGTCGGCGGAGCGGGTCTGACGGCGGGCTATGCTGACAAGGAAAACCAGCCACGCGATAGTCGTCGGCGTCGTGCTTCCCTGCGTTCCCGATCGCGCTCTAGGTCTCGTTCTAACGAGCGCGCCTTTCGACGCTCTAGGTCCCGCGACCGGCGAGTGAACGAGCGCGAGAAAACTCAACGCCAGTTCCGAAACAAATCCCCGCCAGGCTCTCAGACCGACAATCGACATCATGGACGGCGCAACTTTGATCGTCGGCGCATCGGTGGCAATGCGGACGAACGTCCTCGATTTGGCAACAATAAGAGCCGGCGGTCACACAGCCGATCCATGTCGCCCGAGCGAAACGCGCGTCGCAACCAGAGTTCCCCGGAGCGAGTACAAGCAGCCCAAGCCAGCCAAGCTCCCGCTCCAGTGGCAGCACCTACGCCCGTAGAGCATCCGGCTGCCCATCCTCGCCAGCGCTGTCGTGACTTTGACGAGAAGGGCTATTGTGTCAGGGGCGAGACCTGTCCCTGGGACCACGGCATCAACCCGGTGGTGTTTGAGGGCATTAACAACTCGGCCCTTATGATGTCCATGCGAGAATACAATCCGGATGCGCCAGAGATATGGGCGAGAGGTGGAGGACCTCCGCCTGGAGCTGGACAGGGACCAGTGCCCCCGCCAACGCAGCCAGGTCAGACCACCATTAATCCGTTCAGCGGAAATGTGCGACCCAGCACGCTGATGAGCGGGTCTGGTCCGAATCCGATGGGCGTTCCTAACCCCGCTGACTACGCGCGCAATCCAGGTGCCCCGCCGCAGCCCGCCATGATGCCATTCCCTTTCAATCCCACTGCGGTGACCACGCCGCTTCAGCGTCAATTGATACCCATACCAGTGGTTGATGGCGCTCCCTCGGGCGGCGTAGCAGAGATTGGAAAGCGCCGCTTCGAGCTGGAAGATACGGTGGCCATTGCGGATGTGCCCACCAAACGAAAAGTGCCAATCAACAGTCGCCTTGGCCCACGGGTTAATCCCAACATGCAACAACACAACAGCTCGCTGGAGCTTAGGAAGGTACCACGAGGACTGAACACCATTGCCCACTTGAACAACCACTTTGCCAAGTTTGGAAAGATCGTCAACATTCAGGTATCGTACGAGGGAGATCCAGAGGCAGCTATTGTGACTTTCTCTACCCATGCGGAAGCAAATGTGGCATACAGGAGCACGGAGGCAGTGCTAAATAATAGATTTATCAAGGTCTTCTGGCACAACGACAGCAGTGGAGCGGACGTGGGACAGATGAATCAAATGGGCGGCGGAGGAGGAGGCGGTGGGCGGAAAAACGCGAGCCAGTACCATCTGCACAACGTTCCCGCCGTACCCACGCCCAATGCAGATAGTGCGAAGATCAGCAACGCAAATCCTCTGACCGAGGCGGGAGCGGGTAACATTGGCACGCCTGCTGCAGAACAGGCCAGCACAGCAGCTCCTGCATCCATGCGTCTCAAGCTGAACACGACGCCAGCGGGCGGGGCGGCTGGACCAGGTTCAGGAGGTGCTGCAACAGGTCGTCCAATGAATCCGGCTGCCAATGCCGCTAGCATACGCAAAAAGCAGGAAGAGCAGCAAAAGGCAGTGCACCTGTTGGCTAACGGGCTGCGCAAACGCAAACAGGAATTGCTCCAGAGCTACATGAAGCAGATGAAGACGGCATTGGAACTAGTGGAGCGTATGGACCAGCAGGATGCCCAGAGGGCCCCCACCCTGCAAACAATAAAAGTGCTGCAGATGACAATCGACAAGCTTCGCAAGGAGATCCAGGCCGAGCAAGATCAGCTTCAGGCTCAAATCCTCCAGCAACAGCAGCATCAGCAGCCGCCCGTCAAAAAGACGAAGGAGCAACAGAAGAAGGAGCTGCTGGATATGGAGCTGGAGCTGATTGCCCAGCAGCAGGAGGGCAACGATACCACGGCCATACAGAAGCGACTGGAGGAGCTGCAGCGTAATCTAGGCGTTGGCGGAAGACCAGCCGCAAACAACAAGTCACCTCACTTTGCGGCAGCTTCCGGAGCACCCGGTGGAGGACGCAAGCGTCCAAATCTGCCCGAAGGACCCACGCGCGTCGATAGGCGACCAAAGGCTATTGTGGTCACTGGCTTTGCGGCGGAAGAGGCTGACTTTGTCCTGGGGCACTTTAAGGTGAGTTATCCGCAGATATTAATTAAGCTTACAGATTCAAATCTAAAAGTTTGCATTGCAACAAAAACATGAGAAAAGATTTAAGAAATAAGTTTTTGGTTTTTTAATTTGTATTGTCCATACGCAGTCTCCTTTTTAGTAAACTGCATTTTTCGCAGTGTCTAATTACATACGCTCTGCTGTTTTTCACAGAATTTTGGCGAGATTTCCAAGCATGATGTAGACCGTGAGATTCCACAGTTAATACTCTCCTATGCGACCCGCCTTAATGCCGAACAAGCCGTGCTCCGAGGCAAAACTTACAAAGACAAGCGCCTACAAGTAAGTGAAAGACAAACTTTGCCTTCCGCGTAAGGCGTTTTTTAATTATGGATGTACAATCTCAGATTTCGTGGGCGCCCGTGGTGACACCCGCACCGGTTCCGATGGCGGCACCGGTTGAGAAGACCAATACACCAGCTGCCATGGCCGCCAGCCTAGAGAACCCAAAACAGTTTATCCAGTCCGTCAGCGAGAGCGAGAGTCTGTTGGGAAGCGACACGCTGCCGGAGCTGCGTCTGGAGGATGAGGAGGAGGACGAGGAGTCCGAGGATCGTTCCTGGCGCCGTTGATGCACCGCCCTGCGCTGCTGAGGCGTCCGGGGAAGCTCCGAGTGGCTCACAAGTGTTAGGAAACCCTTAACATGTATTTGTTGTTATTCTATATCTAACTGCGGAGTGTGTGGCAGGTGCAGGGAAAACAGGAGCACAGCGAAGCACTCTGCACACTTTCGGCATAATTAAACGCTCTAAATATTACTAATATTTTACTGAACATAAGTTATGAATCGCATACAAATACGAATGAGTTTAGCTAAGCCTAAGTCCGAAATAACAACACTGAAACAAACTACAACTTTAAAAAGCGAAATGCAACCAACTCCACGGCAAAACATTGGTTATAGATCGTGAACTACCTTTGTATTTACACATTTTTCACTCTATCCTTTTCTTACATACAAATATATATATATGCAGATATATAATTGTTAAGATTTTATGTTGAGTTAAAACGATAAAACACTAAAAGAAACAAAAAAATTGCAAAAGAAAAAGTCCTCAAAAACAAGCGCAATGAAAAGAAAAAGAAAAAAATCGTAGCAACGTGAATGCAAAACAGCAAGTTATATAGAGAGATATAATAAATAAAATAAATAGTTTCGTATTTCAGGAGAAAACAATGTGTTTTTTGGGATAAGGGGACTATTTCAGATTCGAAATTTACCATTATCAGAAGATACCATTTTTGGTTGATTTGGAATTTTTTTTAAAAAGCCCGCCATTTTCTTGATGTGACCATCAGCAATTCATTCAGTGTGACCAAACGGATATAGTCGCGTTGCCAACGATGAATTTATCGCCATGTTATCTTTACGTATGGCGCAAAACCAAGGCATTTAGGTTTTTGTTATTGCGTTTTTCTTGAATGCTATCTGTTTTAAAATGTTTTCGCCCCGTTCTCGCTGCACACAGATGCTACTGCGCTAATCCCTGCAAGGAGATGAAGTTCCTCAATGTGGCGGAGAAGAACGATGCCGCCAAAACAATTGCTGGATTGCTCTCTAATGGCTCCGCACGGAGGGTAAGGAATATATATATATATATTATATATTAGTATATAAACCCTATATCTTTTATGTTTGTCTGCCTCCAGCGCGAGGGCTACTCGGTGTACAACAAGGTCTTCGAATTCGAGGCTCCGGTGCGCGGCCAGAATGCTAAAATGGTCATGACCTCCGTATCCGGTCACCTGATGCAACTGGAGTTCATGGTGTCCTACAAAAACTGGCGAACGGTGGATCCCAGCGCCCTGTTCGATGCTCCAGTGAGGAAGTCCGTGGGTAAGGACTACGAGCCCATTAAACGGACTTTGGAGCGCGAGGTGCGCGGCTGTCAGGGATTGATAGTCTGGACGGATTGCGATCGCGAGGGCGAAAACATTGGCTTCGAAATCATCAATGTATGCCGTGCCATTAAGCCGAATCTCACCGTTTACCGGGCCAGTTTCTCGGAGATCACCACGGTGGCTGTGCGTCGCGCTCTCCAGCAACTTGGACAGCCGGACAAAAGGCAGAGCGATGCGGTGGATGTGCGCACAGAACTGGATCTACGAACTGGCGCCGCCATAACCCGATTCCAGACCATGCGCCTGCAGCGATTATTTCCCGAGAAAATCGCCGACAAGCTCATCTCGTACGGTAGCTGTCAGATTCCCACATTGGGATTCGTCGCAGAGCGGTACAAGGAGGTTGAGGCCTTTGTTTCGGAGCCCTTTTGGAAGATTAAAGGTACTTTTCTAATTTACAAATGAGCCTAAGGTAAACGCTTTGTAATATATCTTAGTCCTGCACACCATTGATGACTTGACGGTGGAGTTTAACTGGGCCCGAAATCGTCTCTTTGACAAGGAAGCCTGTGAGAACCACCTGCTCCTCTGCCTGGCCGAGCCAGCTCCTCGGGCGCTGGTCGAGAGCGTTACCGTGAAGCCCAAACACAAATGGCGACCTACTCCTTTAGATACCGTGGAAATGGAAAAGCTCGGCTCAAGAAAACTCAAGCTGTCGGCAAAGGAGACCATGACCATAGCCGAGAAACTGTATAGCAAGGGTTTTATCAGCTATCCCCGAACGGAAACCAACCAGTTCTCCAAGGAGTTCGCCCTGGCGCCACTTGTTGAGATGCAAACGGGTCACCGCGACTGGGGAGCCTTTGCCCAGCGGGTGGTGGAGTGGGGCCCCAATCCTCGTAACGGCAACAAGTCGGATCAGGCGCATCCTCCAATTCACCCCACGAAGATGGCGGATAGTGAGTAAAAACTTACTTTACAGCTGCTGCCCTGTGATGACTTACTCATTTTTAATTTCTCCTGCAGATTTGCAGGGAAACGAGGCTCGAGTTTACGAACTGGTGGTTCGACACTTTCTTGCTTGCGTCAGCAAGGATGCCGTTGGCTCCGAAACACTTGTCCACATCGACATCGCCGGCGAGAAGTTCACGGCCAACGGTCTGGTCATTCACGAGCGCAACTACTTGGACGTTTACGTGTATGACAAGTGGAGTGCCAAGCAGATCCATCACTATGAAAACGGCCAGCGCTTTGAGCCCACGGAAGTGTCGCTGCACGAAGGAGCCACCACTGCCCCGCCACTCCTGACCGAAGCGGATCTGATTGCTCTGATGGAGAAGCATGGCATTGGCACTGATGCCACGCACGCTGAGCACATCAACACAATTAAGGAGCGCGGCTATATCGGAGTTTTGGACAAGGGTTTCCTGGTGCCCGGAGTCATAGGAATGGGTCTCTATGAGGGCTATGATGCCATGGAACTGGCTCTAGCTAAACCCATGCTGCGGGCGGAGTTTGAGTCGGACTTGAAACTTATTTGTCAGGGTCAGAAAGAGCCAAATGCTGTCCTTGCCGAACAGATAACCAAGTACAAACAGTCCTATCGGCAGATCACTGACAAGATCACCGCCATGGATGCCAAGATAGCTGCTCGCATCAATGAGACGCCTGCTGCGAATCCTTCGGGCCAGGAGGGATCCGATCAGAATCAAGCCACAATGCAAACGCTCTTCCAGTGCCCAAAGTGCAATCAAGCGCCATTGGCGTTGAAGGCCAAGAAGAACCAGCAGGGTTGGTTTATTGGCTGCACAAACTTTCCCGACTGCAAGAATGTCGTCTGGATCCCAACGGAGTGCAAAGATGTGACCGTGCTGGACGAGTGCTGTCCCACCTGTGGCGATGGCCATCGAATGCTTAAGTTCCGCCTCAGTACGCCATACTATCGCGGGGTGTTTAACACTCCTAGCGGGTGGTACAAGACCTGTCTGCCCTGCGATAATCTCTTCCGCACCACGTTTAACATCAATTTGGATTCGGTGAAGAGAGTGGGCGGCATTGTGGGCGAGGCGAGAGGTGGAGGCTGGGGTCCTGGACCAGGTCCAGGAGGAGGTGGTGGCGGCTCAGGAGGAGGTGGTGGTTCTGGAGGCGGAGGCGGTGGTTCTGGAGGAGGAGGCGGTGGAGGATGGAGCAGCGGACTGGGAGGTGGCGGTACGGGGAGAGGAGGAGGAGGCAGCTCGAACTCTGAAAGTGGTCTCGGAAATCCTTCAGCAGCAAAAGGAAATAAACCTGGAAACGGACCTAAAAAACCAGCAACCAAAAAACCACCAAGCGAACCAAAGCCGAAAAAGGCCCCAAAAACCACTACCAATAAAAACGCAAGCAGCAAATCCTCTGGGACCATACGCAGCTTCTTTACCAGTGCAGCCACTACGAATTCACCCACCAACCAACTGGATGAATTCTTCGATAGCAACGATGGCTTCGAGGAAGCCATGTTGGCTGCTGCCGACTCCGTAGAATCGGGTACAACCAAATTCAAAACTACTAACTTGGAACCACTGGATGATGATATTGCAGCCGCTTTTGCCGCGGACGATGATGCCGAATTTGAGGCTTTGGTGAACGGAGGAGGAAATGTACAGGGTAACTCCTTTCCGGACGATCAGTTGGACATAAGTCTTTCGGAATGGGTGCAAGAGCAGGACAAAGCTAAAGAAATGCCCATGGCTTGGGGAAGTCGGGAACGGACAACGTTCGGCTCGGCTGCCCCAACTCCTCCCCCAAAACCAGCTGCCAAAAGAGCGAGGTGGGACAATGACGAATGGGATACTGCACCCTCTTCAGCAACCGAGCCGGAAACAGTGCTGTGCTCCGGATGCCAACAGCCAGCTCGCCAGCAGACCGTTCGCAGAGATGGACCCAATCAGGGCCGGCTATTCTATAATTGCCCCAAATCGGATAAGTGTAACTTCTTTCAGTGGGCTGATGAGCCACCATCCTCATCCAGAAGCGGTAGTTCCTTCGGCGGTGCCGCTCAGAACGCAAGTAGTGCCTCCTCCTGGGGCACCAATCGCTTGGTGACTCTGCCCAGTAATCACCAGAGCAGCTCCCAGCGGGGCCAATCATCCATGAGATCGAACTCTAGCAGCACTGTCACCATAACTCAAACAAAAACTAAGACCTCGACCCAAGGTGATGAGGATGAGGTGATGTGCAGTTGCGGGCAGTTGGCAAGCAAGTTGACCGTGCGAAAGGACGGACCCAACCAGGGCAGACCCTTCTTCTCGTGTCCTACGCGGGAAAAGTCATGCGGCTTTTTTAAATGGGGCGATGAAGACCAAAGTCAAGGTGAGATTTGTCTTATTACTATAAAACTTAATTTCAATGACTATATAATATTTATGCCAGGTTCCAGCAGTAGTTCCACTTCTTCGTGGGGATCATCGAATCAGAATCCACCCGGACGCAGCCAACCCGCTGCTTCTAAATCCGATGGACCAAAATCACGGCGTTGTGGTCTCTGTCGGAAGGAGGGACACACCCGAAATAAGTGTCCGCGCAAAAATGACTTTGATATGTAATTGAGAAAAATACTATTTGCCATAGAAAAGATATGCAGGTATTAGACAGAGATGTACAAATTTTCATGTAAACTGTATATAATGTTAATAAATTTACATTTTTTTATCTGTTATTCGTAGAGTAAAAGGCATATCGTATGTTGTTTGTAGCCAATTGTAGCTTATTATGAAAAATGCCCAGATCCGGAAGATGCTAAAAAATCAACTTTCATTTCGATTTTTTTATCAAAACCCTGGGAAATAATGGTCAATTGCTGGATTGTCATACCTCGATAAATTCGTTAGAAAATTTCTAATCGAGTGGCATTCACAGCTAAAAAATTTCATGTTAGTCGATTCTTGGAAAAATTCATGAAGTGAAATGCCAAAATTCCGAAGACGCGGATAAATCAACTTTTAGTCAAGTGTTGGAATGTCATACCTGGTTGAATTCGTTATAAAATTTCCAATCGATTAGCATTCACAGCTATTTTAATTTAGACCAATTTTTGGAAAATATGGTGTTACCCCTTAAAACATTAAATTTTTTCAATTTTAAACATTTATTGGAGCGAGCTTAAATTATTGCGTAGATGAGAAGGATTAGGATCAGTTTCGAGTGCCCTCTCAATTCAAAAACACTTATAGCGAGGAACGGAAATTTAAAATACAAATAGTTCTTTAAACTTATGTACAAAGTGTATAAACTACACCGCAAATAGCTTGTATAACGTTAAGTCACAAATTGAAAATTAAAAAATCGCGAAAGCATGTTTTAAATAAAATCGGACACCACTCTCGATGGAATGTCATTACTCGTGGTTATATATATATATATATATATATATATATATAAACATCTATTGGGTATATATGTGCCTAAACCTAATTTGGATAAACGCTTAAACGCTTTTTACATTTCGTTTTGGCTATATCATAAATATTTAATATGTTTCTTTTATTGGAAGAAGTAAAATTCGTTAGAAAACACTCATACTTATTGTATTTTTACTTTTGTCTGAAGTTAAATTGCTTTAAAATATATATAAATAATTGTAAATAAATAATTTTTAAAATAAATTACTGAACAGTTTGAGATGCATTGGATCGGTAGCGAGTCTGTGAAAAATACCATTAAGTACAGTACGTTTGCTTAAGTTAAAGATAATTTATATGCGATGTTGAGCCTAAAATGGGCAGTATGAAAATATGCATTGTAGAGTTTGGAATGTTTTAAGTACAGTTCAACAGATATGGATAAACAATTCCAATTCCTGTTTTTCATTTCGATCTTCTTTGCCGATTTAATATTTCAGGAAGTATAGGTTTCCGTCTTTGCTCTAGCAAAGGGAGGATTAGAATAAAATCTAAGACCGGACCGATGAGCTTGGATTAAATGGTTCAACATTTATATTTCGACTTCCGGCGTGAACTGGCGTCAGAAATAGATCTCCTCTTCCTCGGGCTTCGCTCGAGGAGCTGTGCCAGTGGCCACTCCAATTCCTGTCGTCCTTGCAATTCCCGTCCGGCTGCTCGTCGGTGTCCGTGAGTAGTGGGCGGCGGATTCTGTCCGGGATACGACGGCCTGAGTGGGCGTTGTGGTGGTCGTTGTTTGCTGAATGATTGCCGGCGAGCTTCCGGTTCGCGAGTGCTGCGGCACAATTCCCGTGGGAGTCGGTGAATAATTGGAGGGCGTGGCAATCCTCCGGTCAGCCAGCTTAAGGGGAAACATCTGCTGCACACTGCCCGAGGACATGTAGGGTGCCGGTGAGGCGCTATTGAAGCTAGCGGACTTGTCCACACGGGAGCTGGAACTGCCGCTGGACGAGAGCGAGGAGAGCTTCATGGGCAGCTTCTGCTTGACCAAAGTGGAGTTGGCTTTAGGTGCATTGTTAGCACTGAGCAAATTCACAGGTGGAGTTTTGCAGTTGGAGGCTCCGCTCAGCCACTTCTCTTTGCGTCGATCCACAGTACCAGTCACACTGGGTGTGCTGCTCCCGGCTCCACTCAGTCCATTGTCCGTCTCATGGTGATCATCAAACAGTGCAGCAGGTGGCGGATGGTTGGTGGTTACCGGGGGCAGCGGAGTGCTGGGCGAAAGCAGCAGACCCTGACTGGAAAGCAGTTCCATCTTTCTGTACAGCTGTTCACGCTGTTGTCGCACATCCTCCTGCTCGGCTTTTATCTGCTGCTGCAACTGCAGCTGCTGTGCCCGCAATTCGGCGAGCTCCTCCTGTTGCTGTTTCTGCTGCCGCTGCCAGGCGGTCTTCTCTTCCTGCTGCTTGTCCTGCAGGTTCCGCAACTCCTCCAGCTGATCCTTGTGCGTGTAAGCACTCGAACGAGGACTCTCCCGGTACAGGGCCAACTGCAATTGCAAGTTATGGATGGAGGTCATCTGCTGGGAGATGATGCAGAGCAGAGTCTGCAGATGGTGCGACACCTGCAGCACAGCATAGTTGTTTTCCAGTGGCTGATCGACCACGGAACCTGTTCCGCTCTTTGGTTCGCGCTTCTCCTCCAGCTCCTGAAGTCGCGGAGTGAGTACCAGCTTGGAGGCCAGCTTGCCACGCTTCTCGTCGAAGCCGGCAAAGGTTTCCGCCCGCTTTGGAAGTGTTGGCGAGGCGTACTGCTCGCTCTGCTTCTCGCCCACGCTGCTCAGAGTTCGTGACACCGGCTGCCCGGTGGCCGCCGAGTAGATGGTGGACGCCAGCTGGCTAATGTCCTGCACCGTGTTGAGCACTCTGCGCCAGAGCTCAGCCGTGTCGCAGTCAGCGCTAACGAGATCCTTGTAAGAGCCAAAAGCTGCCAAAAAATTGGCTGCACTGCCATTAGAACTGGAGCCGGGCAAATCGCCGAATGGCTGCTGTTCCTTGAGAAGATTAAACTGAAGCATCAGTTTCTCCTCTAGCAATAGCGCCTGTTCTATGTCCTTCTGTCGCATCTTCTCTATGGTTTCCCTCTTGTTCACACCAATTCGCAGCTTTTCCTCCGCTGTCAGATCTTCCGCCTCGATGATGTCCGTGGCTGGGCAATCGAGTACAGCCTGCCGGATGGTCTGGATCCAGGTGTTCTTGTCCTTGGGCGTCTGCACTTTCAGTTCGTACATCTCTGGAAAGTCAGGATTAGAGCTGATGATATATATTCCTCGGGACTCGGTGCCTGCCTTTTCGCGGATAAGCAGCTTCTGGAGGGGAACCACACCCGCCTTATGTTCCGGGGTAAAGAAGGAGTACTTATTGTGGCCGGAGTTCTCGCTCAGAAAGCACAGGCAGTCAGTGAGCACAACGACCAGGACCAGCTGTGTTTTAGCCCTGCCCTGCATCAGCGTGGCCAACCCATCAAACTTCAGACGACGTCGCGACTCCACTCCAAGCTCAGTTTTGCGGAAAGGTTTGTTCTTGTAGATGGCAAAAGACTTGGCATCCACTCGACCATAGATTTCCAGCTGTCGTTCGCGCAACTCCTTCTCCGCCACACACGCATCCACATCGACCAGGAGAGATTTTACCAGATTGAGGGCATGCTGCAGCTTGTCTGTCTCCAACTTGTTGTCCCTGGCGCTCTTCAGCAGCGGTTCGATTAGCAAAGGATATTTGGTAAGGCGCTGGGTCACAAACAAGATGCACTCGGGAATGCCCTTCTTTTTGAGCAACGGATTCTGCAAACAGTGCTTGTACCACTCTGCGAAGCTCGGTTCGGTCAGGCAGAGCTTAAACTGGTCCAGGGCGCTGCGGTGATTGGCGCAGAATTCGCCGTAGGCCAAACGCAGGCATTGGGCCTGTTCCAGCGAGAAAAAGTCCAACAGGATGTCGGCAATGCTGTCCACCATCGGCTGCTCGCGTTGTTTAAGTCGCAGTTGACGCAGGAAGCAGGTGTGCATATCTGTGAGCTGCTGCAGGCGCGGAAACATGCTGTTCAGGTTGAGGGATGGGAAGTGCCGCTCCAGACTCTCCACGAACACCTTCTGCATAACGATCAGCGTCTGGCAGTGGTGCTTTTCGGTCATGATGAACTCATAGATGTGCTCCTGCCGCTTAATTTGCAGTTCCTTGAGCGTCTTGAGCAGCTCCCTGGGCACATTGGGAGTCCAGGAGTCGTGCTCCTTGAGAACAATGCCCAAAGCGGGATCCGCGCCCAAGTCCTGCGCTTCGATAAGCGGCTCGTTGAGGAACTGCAGGTCGGAACGTATCAGCGGCTGATCCTCTGGATTGCTATAGGCATTGGCATCTGGCCCGTCGTAAAAGTCCTGGCCCGCAGCCATCTTCTTCACCTTGCACTCCAGGTGGTGCTCCTTGATTTGCGCCAGTGTTATGGCTGCCCCGCAAACGTCGCAAGCACTAAGTTGTCCACCGACTAAAGACTTCGTTTTCGCCTTGGGCTTCTTTTTGCGGAAGAATAGGGAACCTCGCTTGGGACGCTTCTCTACGTTGTCATACACCTCGATCTTTGCGTGGGCCCGCAGCAGGCTTTGGTTCTCATCCTCGCTGTCCGTAAGGTGGCGGGCGATCGCCTTGATATCCTCCTTGGCGATGATGGAGCTCGTCGATATGCTTTTCTGCAGCGGTATCCGGCTGATGATTTCCGTGGCCAGGCTTCGTTTGGCTGCAATCCTCTCGAAGTCACGGGCCAGCTCCGCCTCGTTCAGGGAGTGGGTGGAAATACCTAGAGCGACGGGAGTTAGAGACTCAGTTAGTTAATTACTAATCGTTAGGGTTTCTATTCGCATGCCTCCAGAGCTACCAATGCCAAAGCTCTACAGGTGCTCCCAGATAAGGGGCTTTTGTGGAATTTCTTATCGAAATCGACACTAACTTGGTAGCAGCCCCTACGCTTTGGTTCGGAGGCATATCTATTTCAAAGCTAACTATTGGTAATTGTCACTTTTAAAGTGATTTATCGTTATAAAATATATTTAATAAAATCAAGTCTATTTATTCCCATCATCTAAATATTAGTTACATAAAAGAGTAATTAAAAAACTCGTTAATCGAATTATGTAGGGGATTTGGGAACACTCAGGGGTGTGGTAAATATATTTTCAGATTTTATAATTACTTTTTCACCTATATAACTCTCATAAAAAAAAACCCACCAGTGGTATAAAGATAAAAGGCAGCGACAGTACCTTTTCAAATTGATTTTTTCATTCATTGCAAGCTAACATTTCAGGTCTAAACACTAGCTATTATAAATATTTTTAAACAAACGATTCGATTAAAAATGTCGGTCAGCTATCAATGTTCCTCTTTTGAAAATTTGATTATGTTGTTTGGTTTTAAACTTGGCATTTGAGTGGAATGAAAATATCTAATTTTTACGAACAAAATAGAGTTCTTAAAGATTTAATTTAAAATACAAAATCTAATCTACTCGACATTCCACTAGTAAAACCCACCCACAAACCTTAACAGTGGATATTTACCTCCAGTGCTGTTCCTGGCCGACCTTCGTCGCTGTTCGGTGACGCGGATGGTCTCCTGCTCCTCGCTGTCCAGACTGGATAGGCTTACGCTCTTGTTGGTGCAGTCCCCCCCGCCACTGGCATCGTCCACCGCTGTCCAGGACTTCCTCCTGTCCGTGTGCAGGAGTAGGCACTGCTGCGGCGCCGTCGACGACCACATGGCGTAGTTTGCGCCACCGGACACGGCTCCTGTTCCCGTGGTCATGCCCGTAAGGTCGGGCAGCGAGGCACTCAGTAGGGCTGCGCTGAGCAGGCCATGATTGGCTAGGTTGCCATCCTGCATGTGCTGACTGGTGGAGGAGGAGTTCTTCATCTGGACGACCGTTTCCCGTATACTTTGCAGCTGGCTGAGCGTGTCCTCGAATATGTTGTTGTATTTGGAGGCCAAGGCCGGACTGTGTGGAGTCACATTGATGGTGGGTATCATGTTGTTGTTTATGATGCTGGCAGGAGTGGATGTGGGAACAGGAGCAGGAGCCACTGCAGCGGGCGCAGGAGCAGGAGCAGGTGCGTTTATCACCGGTATGCAGTAGTTCTGGCTTTCGATGGAGGCACCCCGGGTGGCAGAGCCACCATTGATCACCGCTTCCGAGGATTCACTGCAGTTAGAGTTTAGGAAATCGGTGACCACATCATTGTCGCTGTCCTCGCCCGTGTTGTCCATAATAGGGCGGCCTATTTCTTAAGGCGAAATGCCTTTGTTTAGCTGGCTATTTTTTACAGCTGGCTGCCTAGAAAAAGAAAGTTTTAGTATACAACGCACACACACTAGGCCACAAAGGTATATGTATATACATACACAGCGAAATAGCGCACTTGTGTATGCACTTGCTTTTGCTATTTATTGATTTTCCCGCCACCCCCCGAAAACACCTTGTTGCGCGGGGTAAATTGTTGCGCCTTTTTCGAAGGACGTCACTTGTCCTTGCACCAACAACAACAACAAGATCAGCAGAAACAGCAGCGACAACAACAACACACAGCAGCAACAAGAACAATAGCAGTGCGTGGGCGACGGGTATTTAGCAATTTAAAACTTTAATTTTTAAAAAAATCATCTGCGGACGAGGAGGGCGGACTTTCCCTTGCACTTAATCAAAAAAAACTAAATAGAAACTTAAGCTAGTGAGATTTTTGCCAGCGTTTTAAAATTTAAATGCGATTCGAGTAGTGCTGGAATGTTTATACGATACTATCGATGGTTCCATAAATTTGGCAACATCGATGTTTTTCAGCAAGCATCGATTATTTTTACTGAAAAAGTAATCGGACCAATCGAATAGCATCGATCAGTGTTGTAAAGATCAAGTTAACTAACGGTAATTATCAGTTCTGTTTTATATTTGAATTTCAATTCAAATTTAAATATATAACAGCCAGCCAGTTTCTATGCTGGAATTTTGTTTTTATTTTTTTAATATAACTTTGATTTTTTTGAAGGATTCATTTGATTTGCAAAGCTAAAGGAAGATTCTGGTTGAAAATGTAAAAAAATGTGTAACATTTGATATTTTTACCATTAAAGAAATGAATACATACCTAAACATATTATTATTCGACGAACATTTATTAATAGTAAAATGATGGCCGTGCAATACAGTACAGGGCTACAGTTACGTTACAGTTACAATTGAATCGCAATAATGTCGTTATTAGTTAGTAAACGCGTGACTGTGCGCCTGGAATGTGCATTAGTTAGTAGGTAATATGTATTAGTATCACTCTGGTGCCGATCCCAGTCGGATCCGGTCGCCCTAGCCCATGCTGGTGGACAGGTGCTTGCCGGAGGCCGTGTTTCCTCCGCCGGCGGGACCCTCATTGGTCACGCACGTGGGAATGGCGCTGGACCACTTGCCGTTCTTGAGGCACTTGAGCACCTTGGAGCCGCGCAGATCCAAGCCGGCATCGCAGGTGAAGGTGATGCTCTCTCCGATGGCGTAGTAGAACTTGACGGAGGACATCCGACCGCTGATGACGGTGCCGGGATAGGAGCAGGCCTGTACGCACTTGGGCAGGCCGCCCGACCAGCGCCCGTTATCCTGGCAGGCAATGATCGGCTGGCCCTGCATCATGTACTCCGGGTTGCAATTGAACTGGACCACATCGCCGGCACGATAAGGTGCCGAGCCCTGGGCGTAACCGTTTTGCGGCGCCCCCGGATTGTCGCACTGCACCTCGACGCAGGTGGGCAGAGGCGCCGACCACTCGCCCGTGGGATTGCAGATGGCCTCCGCCGGGCCGCGCAGCCCGTATCCGGAGGAGCACGAGAAGGCCGCCCGACCGCCCACCTCGCGCGACAGCACGGAGACTCGCGGCGAGCTAGCGTTGCTACCCATCCCCAGCGGGATGTCGCCGCACTCGACGCTCTCGCAAACCGGCAACGGAGCGCTCCAATTGCCACTCGGCATGCAGAACAGCTCCGAGGCGCCAATCAATGAGTTCCCATTCGCGCAGGACATCAGCGCCCGCGTGCTCAGCTTCGTATCGTTGGTGTTAACGATCAGGCCACGTCGCATCGGTATCTCCGGGCAGTTGATCGCCCGCACCACCACCTCCACGGCATGCTCATGCCGAGCCGGTGTCATGCACGAGTAGAAGCCGCTGTCGTCGCTGGCCGCGTCCACGATGCTCAGACGGTACTCCAGCGTTGAGTCGCGTCCCTCGTCCGCCTCGGTCACCCAGCCCTCCGTGTAGTTCCTGCAAGTCACGGAGATTGATTAGGAGGTGTCTAATAAAAATCAAACGTTGCTAGACAAAACCCTTTCTCATTACCAGTTTAATCTAGCCGGATTTAAAATCTATTTACTAGTAGATCCTACACAATGTCCCTCTATATATTTATAATATTCAGTTATTTTTAGTTATACAAATACAAGAAGAATCTTTTTAAAACCAGAACTATCTTTAAAAAAATAGTAAAGACATAAAGTACCTTAAGGTACTCACTACATCATAAACATAATCCTATTTCTAGTAGACATATGTATTCTCAAATCCTCACGGTAAATTAGTTTCAAAAGCCTATTTTCATAAAGCAAAGTACACTTTTAATATTAAAATAAAACTACTTGGTCCTAAATTATTATACAAAAAAATATTCTGGGAATGACCCAAATTGATAGTCGAAATAAAGAGCAGAAGTAGATTTTAAACATACCCCTTGCTGAAATTCAATAGTCAGTAACATATAAATAGCAAAACTTTGAAGCTCATTTAGTGTACCCAATTACCCGATACCCACTTGTGCGTATGACTGACGTTCCACTTGGGATTGCCGAAGCGCCGCATCCACAGGCACTCCATGTGCAGGGTGGTTCCCGGATAGACGATCAGCTTGCCATCGTTGCTCTGGGCAATGGGTCCGTTCTGGTGTCGGAACAGGATGGTCGGGGCCTTCTCCACTGCATTCCGAGATAGGTAAGTTTTACAAATCCCGATTCATAAACTAAATTACCTACTGGCATAGTCGTTCTCCTGGTTGAGACCAGAGCACACGGGCTTGGTGTTTGTCCATTCCGAGTGGATGCAGGTCCTCTCGTGACTGCCCGTCATCGAAAATTTGCCAATGTCCATACATCTGAAATTAAATGTTTCAAAATATATAACAATCCACATAAAAGATTAAGATTAAGCTCACCTGGATATGATTGTAGCTCCTGGGGGAAAGTCCACAACATCTTCACGGATCTCCAGGTCGTTATAAAAGCTAACTACATTAGCTTCGTTGTTTCTGAACACACAAGTTCCGTTCTCTAAAGCATTTAAAATATTTATATCAATTCAAAACAGTTTCTTATTAAAATTACTCAGTTTGGAATTACTAGCTTCCAGTTCCAGATCTTCCTTTTAAACTTACCGCAATTATAGGATCGTCCTATCCACAGTCCATTATCGCAAATGATGCGCCAGGTCTGTCGATCCCCAGCCGCATTTGGGATGCAGTTGAAGAAAATCTCCGTGCCGCTTTCATAGGCGCCATCAAGCTCTGGATGTTCGGCATTCCTTCAGGGATCAGAGGACTATTAATAGCTCATGCCAGGACAAAATATAACTCACTTGTAGACCAGAGCGCCATCCGTAAGCATGGGTGAACCACACATCTTCATGTCGTCGTGCTCATCGGTACCGTTGTCGAGGTGGTCATGATCGTTGTCCAGTTCGTTGTGCTCCACCTTAGGATGCGGAGTGGGCGTGGCATGTTCCAGTTCCTCGCGCGATTTCCGCAGTCCAGACTCACAGGGAATACTGGGAGGGGTGAGGACGCCTTTGCGGCAGGACATCTCGATGGGATTGGCATTGGTGGAGAGTTCACAGCGAACGCTTACGCTGCTGCCATGACCAATGGTCAATCCCGCCCGATAGCCTCCCTAAAAAATGGACAAAATATATTAGAGATTGTGTAGATATATGGATAAGAGATCCTTACATCGTAAATCACTCCCGGAATATTGGGTAAGGTGCAGGGCACCGATGTGCACTCGGAGAACGCATTGACCGACCAGGATCCATGGGCACAACGCAGCTGAGCCGAGCCCTGAAATTTTAATAAGAACATTTAAATGGGTTTCTCCAGAATATTTTTAAGCACTATTTAAAATATATTTAATGTAATATTTTGGTTAAGTAATTTAAAAAAAATAAATGAGCAGGCGGTAAGTATTTTTCATTCCAAATATTACCCACCTGAATGTTGAACCCATCTTCGCACTCCAGGGTGATGAACTCGTTGGACTGAATCTCCTCGTAGGTGGAGAGTGGGGTCAGCGATGGCTTGTCGCTCAGTTGTTTTGTGTGGGGCTCCACTTTGTAGTATTGGCCATGTTCCACGGCGGGCACCAAACATGGAGCGGAGAGGCACTTGGGCGTCTCCGGCTTCCAGATTCCCCTTATGCATCGTGCCGTTACATTATCACCCTTGATGTTCAGCTTGAACCCGGCATTGCACTCCAGATGCAGCATGATTCCCACGGCATTTCTACCCGGCACTTTGCCCGGACGCAGTGTGGTCACATTGCCAAAGGAGTCCCAGTCGAGATCCTCGCAGGGTCCACGTAGCCTCTTGCCACCGCCACCCTTTCCACCCTCTCCTCCATCGCTTATATCCACCTCTGCATCCGGAAGAGTGGCCCCCGAAGAAGGAGGCGACTGTCCAATGCTGGAGCTCCGCTTGCGCCTGCGACGTACTATCTGCGATCTCAGTTGATCCATGTAGGACCTGGTAGAGTTCATGTGGAAGGTGCGTGATCCCACTGGCGGCGACCCATTTGATAGCAGCTCGTCCTTGGAGCTGCGCACCATGTGAGCCACCTGACTCCGCGATGCCTGGTTGATATTGGGCAGGGGCACCACTCCACCGCCTGTTCCAATTCCTCTGCCTCCCAAATAGTTGTTGGCGCTTTCGAGTTCCCTGAAGTTGGCTTTGCCCCGCATCACCTGTCCGCCATCGTGGGCATTGAGGTTGTTTCCCACCCTACTCATTGCATCCTGGGCGTGAAGCTTCTGGTAGATCCGGTCTCGGCCCAGCATCTTCTTAACGTATCGCTGATAGCGCTCCTTAATCTTCTGGTAATACTTGGAGAAGCCCATGTCATCCAAGGGATGTGGCTGCGGATTCGGATAGGGACTCGCGCTACGCTTCACCCGGGCCACCGAAGTCTTGGCTGGATTTATAACTAGAAGGTTATGTAGTATATAAAAACTTGTAAATAGGATGGAACTACGTTTTCACTTTGCACAAATTCCAAAACAATTTAAACTAAACTTGGTTTTGGCTTAAATAAATTCCGACTTAAGGGGTCATTTTTTTTTTTTTTATAGTCTTAACTTAACTTAGGTTTTGATTTTAGATAGAGAGTATAAAATAGATTTTTGGGAAAAGTGAGTGTCACCGTAATTTCCAAAATTTTGTTTTGACCTTCAGTGGTTTAATATGCTTACCCTCATTGATATACTTCTGGTTTTCAACTAGTTGCCTTTGAAGCTGTCGCTGGCGCTGCAGGAGGTACATGGATCTCAACTGGCGTATCTCCAGGGAGCGACGTCGGCGGCGATTCCAGCGGAGACGGGGATGTTGCCCCAGGAGGCACTGCGGCAGGTCCAAAGGACGCCACTTGCCGCCCACACAGGTGGCACCGGGTGGACCCACCTAAAGAAACCAGCCAGTTAAATCGGATTACCAAGCCTTCAAATCAAAGTACCTCCAAGACATATCCTTTGTCGCAATCGTACATGATCTGCTTGTTGTTCACGATCTTCTTCACATATGGTCGGTAGTCGTAGAGCCCCATGTTGCCCACGAGCAGGACCTTGCCATTGGGAATGTAGCCAGGGAAGGAGCAGAAGACCTCGTCGCACTTGGGCGTCTCCCCCGTCCAGTTGCCGAAGGAGCAGGTGAGCACATAGTCGTGCGGATCGGTGACATCCTTGCCCTCGGGACTGACCAGCTTGAAGCCATCCTTGCACTTGAACCGCGCCTTCATGCCGTGCTCCGTCTTGGGCGCCATCACCATGCCGTGTTTGGGTGGACGCGGCATACTTTTGCACCTGGCGGGCACACAGCGCGGAATGATGCTCCAGGTGCCATTGTTGCAGGTGGGCGGACTCAGCAGCGACACCGGAAACTCATAGTTCTCATCGCACTTGACCTCCAGTGCCGTTCCGTGCTTCACCGTCTCCACGCCGCCAATGCTCTGAGTTTGGCTGGGCGACTGAGTTGTGGTCGTCGGCGGACTGACAATGGCCGTTCCGTTCTCATCCGTGGTTATCTCAATGGGGTAGACATTGCCCTGCGATATGGTGGGCACCACACAGGGAGCCAAGCACTCGGGCAGTGCGTTCCGCCACCTTCCGTCGATCTGGCACACACTCGAGCCCAGCCCATTGATCATCATCTCCGGCTGGCAGCGGAAGATTATGCTGGCCCCCAGTCCAGTGCCCGCCTCTATGTTCTCGATGTACCCGTTGTACAGCACTCCTGGATGGCCGCAGTTGATCTCTGTGGATTGGGAATTGGATTGGGGTTTTATTATATAGTACTTACTAACTATTGATCAGGGAGTCATTCAGAAATGACTTTTTACTGCATATTTTACACTACTGTTTGCAGTTTAAATTCTTATGGCCAGATATAACTTTATTTATTTAAATTTCTTAGTAATAATACATTACTCTTTCTGAGTTTTCCAAGTTTATTCACCTAATTCTTTAAATTCCTTAAATGAGACCCTTCGATTTTATATAGTATTAGATCGAAACTAACTGGTAAGGCTTTTCTATGACTTTTAGCCTAGATATATGTGCAGTTCAAGAAGTGGAAGTCCCTCATAGACACCCATTCAAACTTACCCTTGCAAGTGGGCAGTGTGCCGCTCCATTTCCGATCCGCTCCGCAGCGACTGGAACTCTCGCCCATCAGGGTGTATCCATAGCGGCACTCGTAGCTGACCACCGAGTTGTAGGCCAGGGTGGTGTAGGTGGCCTTGCCATTCTTGGGATTCTCCGGCGTGGGACACACCACCGAGGTGACCACTGTGCGGGAAGCGGGGAGAGGCGGATTAGCAAGAGGATTAGCCGAGGGTATGGGCACGCTAAAAGTTACCACAAATCTTGGGAAGCCGCTCGCGATCGATCCACCAAATAAAACAACTTCTAGGTATCGGTTTCGATTTGAATAAATTTCTTTTTTTATGTTTTTCGTTTTTTGTTTTGCTCAAGATTTGCGGTAACTTTTATTTATTCATTCAACATTAATAGGCCAACAACAACGACAACAAGGTATTGCATAAAATTTGAACAATCTGTTGTAACGCTAGATCAAATCAGAGTTAGAGATAGGATAGGATAGAGAGAGAGTGTGTGTGGTTAACAGGGTCGGAGGACTCCGAGTGGAGAACTTGAGCCCTGACCAAAGTACGCTTAATACATATGCATATAGTTATTCGGATATTGGGGATCCAAGGAGTCGGAAACGAAACGCCTAGGACAACGACGCCTGGGTGGTGGTTACATTTGCGCTATCCGCTTTAAAGGTCAGAGGTCAGAGTGGTTCCAAAGTGGCGCCAACGCAATACTCACAGACACAGGTGGGCAGCTCCTTGGGCGTCCACGATCCATCCGACTGGCAGTACCGCTCATGTTTGCCCACCAGCTCGTATCCGGTTCCGCAATTGTAGGTGATCTTGCATCCGTAGGTGTAGCACTCGCCAGCATGCCATCCATAGGCCGGATCCGGTGGCTGGCCACATGATCGAGCTGGAAGCGTTTATTTCGTTTTATTAATGGATCTTATAGACCTTAAGTGATCCTGAATCACTCACGTTCGCACTGAATATCCGGTCCATACCAACTGGCCAGGTTATCGATGGCCAGGCACTTGGCCCGCGGAAAGCCATTGGTCACATAGCCGGTGTGGCAATGGTACTGCACCGTGGAGTCCAGGTCGAAGGTTTCCTGTTCCGGCAGCGCCGAATTCCGGGCATGTTCAATTTGAGGTGGCTTTAGGCAGTAAACTAGCGGAGTTTCAAAGGATATTAGGTTTCTTTTGTTATATTTCTAAGGCTTTTACTCACTATTCTGCTTGCAAGCTGGCTCGGCTCCGGCCCAATTGCCATCCGCCTGGCAAAGACGACTCTGCAGACCCACCACATGGTAGCCATGGGGACAGGCGTAGGAGGCACGGGCTCCAAAGTGGCGTCCACCAACAGTGACCTGACCCAAACTGGGCTGCGCTAGCTCTGGACATTCGCGATCTGTGAAAAATGGGTTTAAATTGTATAATTTAAATAAACAATGAGTTCAATAAATTATTTATCATTTGTTTTTTTCCTGTAATGGATCTATATCTTTCCCTATATCTTAAATTTTTCTTTGCATTATTTTACTTAAATAAATATCATCTTTTTATTTTACAAAATGGATACCAGCTAATCCTATTTATTTCATTTCGTTAAGAATGGTCTGAGTCAAAGAAAAAGGTTTTAAATGCGTAAGAAATACATTTATTTTGGTGTTTTGATTTTAAGAAAATTCACTTTGTTGGGAACTAAAATATATAAATAATTCTTAGACCTCATTTTCTTTAAAAAGTTTTTTAAATGATTTAGTATAAAAGTATGAAAGTCTGGTGACTCACCCGGTTTGATGCAGGAGTTGCCGCAGACGCCGTCGCACAAGCACTTTTTCTTCTTGCTCTTGCAGTCCTCGTCCGAGGAGCACTTCCTCAGGCATTTCTGGCCGAGAAGGGTGGCCTGCTCCTCATCGCGGGGACACTCGGTGGAGGGCGAGTTGCGGGGATTCTTGTAGACGCGTCCATCGTCATCGGATTCCAGGGAGTCGTCATCCTCCTCCCAGTCGTCGTCGTCGTCATCTTGCTGCGGTATCTCCGAGGTGGTCTGCACACTGGTGCTCATCGTGCTGGTGGGCACCGAAGTCACTGCAGGAATAAATAAAGCACAGCTGTCAGTCATCTGGGAAAACGTACTCCCTGTTCGGTCCTCTGCCCTCCGCCTCCAAATAATAATCCACCCCTTAACGAGGCTTCTGTTTTGGTTCCGGATTCGCGTCTGTTTTGCTCCGCCTCGCGTGCTGGCAAAAACATTGACCTATTTCCCCCGATGCCTGGTCCAGATGTCTGATGGCTCGGTCCCAGACTCTTTGGGAGTCTGCGCACTGACCGCCAATCTTATATAATCCAGCAGCATATACATTTTTCATCTTGGCAATTTCGACAATTTCCAAAATTTAAAAATAGTTATCCCCGTCAAACGTTGGCTTATCCTTTTTAACGCTCTTTAAGAGTTCATGTTTTTCAGTATAGTTATCTTTAGGGTTTAGTTATTGACCTTTGTAGACTAGAATGGTGGTAACCAGGCACTGCAGCAGCAGACGATTCATTTTGATTTCGAGTTTAACTGGATTTTCCCTTTTTGATTTTTCTCTTTTTCGCCGTGTCGGCCGTGGCTTTATATCATTTTAGCTTTTAGATTTGTAATTGCTCTGCCAATGCCAATTTATTGGTAACTTTTTCGACAAGTTCGGTGCCTCGAAACTTCTCACTTTGAGGCAAAGAAACGAAATGCAGCAGTGCCAGCTGCTTTCGTCCTTTTCAGCTCTCTGTTTTTTGACAGATCAAGCGAGTTTGACAGCTCTCGATGGTGGTTGGTCCTTTTAACGGAAAAGGGGAATCTAAGGGAAATTCCGAAAATATGCGAGACAAGTTTTCTTGTACGCTTTTAAAATAGTAGCATACTTATTGGGGCTTATTGGCAACACTTAATTATCCTTTTGTTAGTATCATGGCTGAGTTGAAATTGACTTTGAATTTATGGTTTTATTTAAGTTCGTAAATAGATAACTATTTGCAAATTGTAATTTATGTAATATTTCAATAAAATATGTTTTTTACATTTAGAAAAATAATTACATACATGTATGTAAATGCATCTTTTTGGCTAGCTGAAAATAGATTAAAAACAAGAAAGGAAAGCTAACTTCGGGCGGAGCCGAAGTTGATATACCCTTGCAGAATACTCTATAATTATATTCTCCAAAATTATTCCTATGATGCATTCTTAATACTCATAAAAAATCCAAACTTCCTAACTTTAAAAACACCAAAGTTATGGCATTTCGAATCGTTCAGTTATATGGCAGCTATAGGATATAGTCGGCCGATCCTTATGAAATTTGGTAGGTCGGATTGATTGGCCAAATATAAAACCCATAGAAAATCCCAACTTTCTAACTTTACAAACACCAAAGTTATGGCATTTCCGATCAATCAGTTATATGGCAGCTATAGGATATAGTCGGCCGATCCTTATGAAATTTGGTAGGTTGGATTGACTGGCCAAATATAAAGCCCATAGAAAATCCCAACTTCCTAACTTTATAAACACGAAAGTTATGGCATTTCCGATCAATCAGTTATATGGCAGCTATAGGATATAGTCGACCGATCCCGGCCGTTCCGACTTATATACTGCGTGCAAAGGAAAGAAGGCTGTGTGCAAAGTTTCAACTCGATAGCTTTAAAACTGAGAGACTAGTTTGCGTAGAAACAGACAGACGGACAGACGGACAGACAGACGGACAGACGGACAGACGGACAGACGGACATGGCTATATCAACTCAGGAGGTGATCCTGATCAAGAATATATATACTTTATAGGGTCGGAGATGCCTCCTTCACTGCGTTGCACACTTTTGACCAAAATTATAATACCCTCTGCAAGGGTATAACAAGAAAGGAAAGCTAACTTCGGGCGGAGCCGAAGTTGAAATACCCTTGCAGAATATTCTGCAAATTATATTCTCCACCTTCCTAACTTTAAAAACACCAAAGTTATTTCATTTCCGATCAATCAGTTATATGGCAGATATAGGATATAGTCGGCCGATCCTTATGAAATTTAATATGTCGAATTGATTGGGCAAAAATAAAACCCATAGAAAATCCCAACTTCCTAACTTTACAAACACCAAAGTTATGGCATTTCCGATCAATCAGTTATATGGCAGCTATAAGATATAGTCGGCCGATCCTTATGAAATTTGGTAGGTCGGATTGATTGGCCAAATATAAAACCCATAGAAAATTCCAACTTTCTAACTTTACAAACACCAAAGTTATGGCATTTCCGATCAATCAGTTATATGGCAGCTATAAGATATAGTCGGCCGATCCTTATGAAATTTGGTAGGTCGGATTGATTGGCCAAATATAAAACCCATAGAAAATTCCAACTTTCTAACTTTACAAACACCAAAGTTATGGCATTTCCGATCAATCAGTTATATGGCAGCTATAAGATATAGTCGGCCGATCCTTATGAAATTTGGTACGTCGGATTGATTGGCCAAATATAGAACCCACAGAAAGTCCCAACTTCCTAACTTAACAAACAGCAGAGTTATGGCATTTCCGATCAATCAGTTATATGGCAGCTATAGGATATAGTCGGCCGATCCCGGCCGTTCCGACTTATATACTGCGTGCAAAGGAAAGAAGGGTGTGTGCAAAGTTTCAACTCGATAGCTTTAAAACTGAGAGACTAGTTTGCGTAGAAACAGACAGACGGACAGACGGACAGACGGACATGGCTATATCAACTCAGGAGGTGATCCTGATCAAGAATATATATACTTTATAGGGTCGGAGATGTCTCCTTTACTGCGTTGCACACTTTTGACCAAAATTATAATACCCTCTGCAAGGGTATAATAACCCTGTTAAAGGTTAAAAAATCGAGGGTATAACAGAAAACTTTTTCAACCAAATTGTAACTGATGTAGAACGCCACCCGGGATTATGTTGAGCAGTCATTTTATTGTTATTAAAGTTTTTCAACAGTTCTACCAAATATGATTTTAAAAAATGCAAGGCAATATATTTAAAATTTTAAAACATTTTTTTTAACTGTTTAGCTGATTTGTATTTGTGGGTGTTTTTTAAGTTTACACCCTCTGGTATATATAATTAATTGAACTATTATTATTTAAACCAATACTGTATGACAATTTCAAAACACTACCTTTTGATAATGTTACCAATGCCCAACCTGGAACTCTTTTATTAAGGATATTAGTCCTTTGGGGCCTGCGGGAACCACCGTACCTCTTAAAAGATCGCGGTTAACCCAATCGAACGGACTGCAGCCCTCGTTTTTGGAGCTTCGAGAGCGGACGGTCGGAAAAGCTCCGGAGCTTTCTGCTATACGCACTCGCTGGCGACCGATTTTCCAACGGAACGGATTCAGAACAGAACCAGAAGCAGTGAAAACCCAGAGCGCCGAGCAACACGACGACGCACAGCGGCGGGATAAGGAAAAACTAGCCGAGGCGCGCACTGCCATCCAAAAAAAAAAAGGAAAAAAGATAGAGAATCGAGCGGAAAAAGGCGAAAAACCTAATACGAAAAACGCACTCGAAAGATACACTTTTCGGACGAAATGTCTTCGCGGCGTGTGTGTAACAAACATTTTGATTAGGCAATTAATTGAGCAAAGTGCAAGTGCAGTGGGTGGAAAATGTTTTAGACTCGGTTCGCCAGATTACGGGGGTTACGGGGAGCGGCGGGTTTTCGGGGGCGCATGTGAAAAGCGCGTAAAGAAAAGTAAGTGACGGGAATTTGTGTATTAAAATAAATCAAATAACCAACTAAACGATGTATACACACCGCATCCAATGAGTGCGCTGCAAATGGCATCTGCGAATAGAGAATTGCGAGCGAAAATCTACAGATTCACGGTGTCTTTGACAAATTAATTGATATTGAACCATTTCGAAATTCCGCTGCGACAAAATGTCGAACTAACAGATTCAAAAACATATATTCTGTGTATATAGGGGGGATTTATTTTTAGCGTTTTTCTCCCCATCCCGCAAAAGAATTCAAATCGGTAGCGAAAGACAAATGCTGTGTGTATTGTGGGTCGAGCGATCGAAAATATTTTGATATCCAATAAATAACCAACTAAAGGCATAGACTTAAGCATCCATAGGTGAAATATATGCTCGCGCGTCAACAATTTTCAAGCGTGTACACAAAAATCCAGCCAAGCGCATTGCCCGCAATAAATCCGAGACGAGACCCAGACCAAGACCATCCAACCACCACCCACCACCTACCACCCACCACCCACCACCCACTTGGGCCAGTTCACTCGACCACTTGATTAACGCCAATGCCAATTCAACGCAGAAAATCTCTATAAAAAGTTCCCGCAGAGAGCATGCGTTCGTCCGCTTTTTCGGAGAGCTTTTCTCTCAGTTTGTCCCCTCTCTTTCTGCCCCCCAGTCGCACCATCTCGCTCGCACGCAGGACGTGCTCGTTGTCCTGTCCCCGAGCACTTTGTTTTTGTCATTGACCTGTTGTGGAGAAAAACTATATATGGGCAGTTTATAAACTATTTACAACCCTGATTACGGAACAATTATACAAAATTAAGTGCTCTGTTGTATCGCAAAAGGAAAACATCTTTATAAAAGGACTTCAAGTCTGAATTCTATACACCTTAATTGGTCCTCAATCGATATGGGTATGAGATTTCCTCCAACAGCTGTGATGTTCTCACTGTCTTTTTTCCTTGCAAATTACAAAACGGTAATTTAGAACTTACTAAAACACCTATTAACATATGAATTAATGAACGATTTAGGACCAGGATTACGAGCAATAGAAGTTATTTTTTTTATAACCCATTATTTTTTATAAACTCTAAAACAGTGGTAAAGTTTCGACATATTTTGGCCCTCGATTTTAAATGCGTGAAATCGGGGCCATTATAAAGATTATAATAGATTTATAAAGAGTTAAAATTATTCTAATTAAGGCAAATTAAGTAAATGAAACCCGTGTGATTTTCCTTTATTAGTTATTAATTGAAGATCTTATTAACTTTATATGAGATAGATGCACATAATTAACATATCAATTTGTTCCTTTTTGTCTGCTTTCTACTTTCTTTTAAATGTTTGTAATATGATTCCATTACTACCATTCATTGCAGGACATAAATAGTCAATTGTAATTTAAAGAGTAGGGAATCGAAAGACCGCAATGGGCAACGTGTGCAGTTCCGGCCAGAAGAAAAAGAAGGACAAGGACAGTGCCTCCGAAAAGTCAGACGAGTAAGTGGTTGGCTAATGGCAATCAATCTCTGAAGAAAACTGATTTTGGTTGCAATTACAGCTCACCTCCGTACCAGGAGGCGGAACACAAGAACACCCTGATCTCCACCGACTCCAATGCTGGCGACGAGAAGCGCGCTCCTTTGGCAGCCGTGGAGGCGCTGCCGGAGGTGACTCCACTGCCGGAGGCCAATGGCAACCAGCCGCAGGGCCAGAAGCAGCAGCCACCGACTGTTCCCGGCAAGACCAGCGGAGGAGCAGACAAGGGTAAGTAACCTATATCTTGAATATTTCTAACATCTAGATGTACTAGAATTTTTCTTCATCTTCATCGACTTTTTTTGTAAAATTTTCTTGGAATATCTTCTTTGTCCGACTTCTTTTTATATTATGAAAAGTTTATTGAGGCTCTTATAAATTTAGTGATTGATTTTTGAGGTGTATAATTTTTCATATACTATTTTTGATTATTTTTCAAGTTATCG